AGCTTTTCTGTTTCCGCAGTTTTTGCTAGCATTTTGACACAACTGGTGCTGTTTTTAAACACACACAATCACAACCCCTGTGCGAAAGTATCCTTTCTAATTAGTGTATTCAGCTACTTTAGGGTATTACTGACACAGGCATTCAATTGCACACACACAGCTTGTATAATCTCCAGAGAAAAGTGCTGTCAATAGAATGGGATGCTCTGGAGTAGCCACATATGAGCCTAATGTCACCATGCCCAATGCCAAGTGTCAGCTAGAGGGATGTAAATCCCCCAGCATTGGGCTGTGGAGCAGTGGAACTGTGTTCTCTGGAGTGATAGAGCTCCATCCAGCACCTTTGGGGTGACCTGGAGTGGTGTATGTGATGCAAAACTGATTATCCAACATTATCTAAGGCAATCAAATTCACACAGAAATGTTCCAACATCTACTGTAGCCTTTCTAGAAAAGTAGAGGATGTTACTGCATCAAACTTAATAGAGCCCTTGATTTTAGAAGAAGCACTGGATAAGCAGGTGTCTACAAACCTTTGGACATATAGTATAGCAACAGCAGAGGTAGTGTAACATTCTACAAATAAACATCAAAGCAGCCATAGACTTTCTAGGTGAAATACACTGATGGGTGAGATATCAGAAACTGTGTTAGATGGTCCTCAAGTGTTAACAAAAATGGGCCGGTATCTCAGGTGAGACACTGGACCATCCTGCAGGAAAATCCTGGAATTAGATCACCCCACCAATGCAATACTGAAATCTTTCCACAGTTACTAAAGATCTTCAGAGTTGTCTGCTATACTTCTCATCTGACGTGGCCTTTTGAGGTCTGGGATGTCTCAACAGACGCCTTGCATTGTTACCTGAGTCTCAGTCATGTTTACTGACATGAAGTAACAGCCTGTACCTGAATGTGTAGTCTGAGTGTGGAAAAACACAAACGGCTTCAGGCATGAGGCTGAATGCACCAGCTGCGGGCTGGCTTGTACCTTGGCATGCACCAGCCCTCCTGTTAAAAATAGGCTACTGAAAGTGAATAGAGTCGCCAAGCAAGCCCGATGCAGCTCAAAATATCTTAGAAATGCTCAGACAGTTTTGGATGATCCACTGCATTCTAGCTATGTGGCTTTAATTTTAATGAAACAATTACGTAGTAGAGTTTTTCAAGGCCAATTCTGGCATTGAAGGTTATAAGTTAAACAAGGCTAAAAGAAGATCCACATCAATTACAACAGCTTAAAAAATTTTAATTAAAGCACGTTACTTGAGAGGCATTACTATTAGAGTTATGAGGGTTTGGAAGCTAGATTGAAAGAGACAAAAAGAATGTTCCCAAAAAGAGTTTTCTTCCAAACATCTGAAATTCCAGACGAGCAGCTTCTAAAAAGCCTTCATACTTTATCAAATAATTACACATACTTTATTAACTACTTCATTACGTAGTGATTTTGAATAATACGTATTAAATAAAGCCCTGCATAACACATCCCAGCACTAGAAATGCTACGTGCTTCAACTAATGTCTTCTTCAGGCCACTGTTAGTGTATGCTATATGTTATAGGACCTGTAGGCATTTCACATACAATATACACATATATTTCCAAGAACTGATTTAGCCCGCGAAGACAAATCACCAACAATGCTTTTATAAACATACATTATAAACATATGTTCAGGTCAGCTATTATATACAATAAGTACAAGGTGGGATTACGAGGTTTTATGCAATAGCAAACACTACGTTCACAGTGCTGGATCAGTTTCTGTTTAAATAAGTATTAGGACTCTTGAGAAGTACCTGAACACTGGTATCAATGAACATATGTAGGGCATACCTGAAACAAAACAGATCCTGTTTGACCAATACATCAGTAGTTCCCCCCCTTTTGTATCTAGCTAACTCCAAATAACACTGACCAACATGTGCCCTCTCCATTAGCACTAGTAATGAGTAACAGTGTGATGTTTCAAAGGGCAGCTCTGACATTCAGGCAAATATCCTGATATTTCACTTGTTTAACGTGTATTAAGTATACTTTTGGTGTGAATAGATCTTTCCATGAGAAACTCTTCAAAGCAGAATGTCTCAGCTGCCATAGCAGTCAAAAGGAGTGAACACCCATTTCAAAGCAGAAATCTGTTCGCATGGAAAGCTAAAGCTCTACTGTTCAGTGTATTTTATTGTTGTCTACATACTTGTTCATATAGTTGTGACGTACAGTACTGGGCAAAAGCCAGAGACCACCTTTCATTTATTTAAGTTCTATTAAGTACAAGTTATTAATTTTTCAGAAGATGTTTCTGAGGAGATTAGATACAAGATAGTTCACTTGCGTGCGGAAGAGGAAAGTCAAAGAAAAACAACAGGAGTTTCTAAAACTGGAATTTAAAAAGTGATTAAAAGATACAGAGAACATGGGCCTCCTAACAACCACCTGCAAGACCTGCTAGACCACGAAAACTGTCACCATCAGATAAACAGTACTTACAGCTTTCATCTTTACGAGAGGAGAAAATCAAGCTCCACTTTGCTTCAGATCTGAAACAATCCACAAATGTTTCTGTCCATCCTTCCACTATGAAAAACAACTCAACAGTATAAGTCTGAAAGGATGTGTAGCTGTCAAGAAGAAGAAACAGATGAAAAAAGATAATTTGCGCTAGAACACTGCAACTGGACATCTGACCTGTGGAGTGAGGTTTTATGGACTGATGAGTCTAAATCTGTAATTGGGATTACCTGGATCGGGCATAAGCAGAAAATGTAGCCAACTTCTAAGCCAACTTTGGAGCTGTGGAGATATGTGGCTTGATAGACTACCTTATGCACCAAATAAAGACATATAGAAATAAAGTGAACAGAAAACTGACTTTAGTCAGCCTACCAAAAAGTGACAAATGGAACCATTTAAAATGACTTGCAATACTATAATGTTACATTTCTTCCATTAAAAGATAAGAATATTTTTACTTTCTCGTGAAAAATACCATTTCCACGATACAGGGATGTATTATGACAGCAATATATTTGCGTTTTAGAAGTTGACAGGCTGCCCTGTCTGCATTATAAAGGTAATAAAGATCATTTTCTTGTGTAAATCTTGTATTCAGTGTACAAAACTTGCATTTACTTGCATAAATCATGGAATAACAATATCATCAACGAACTGAAGAAAAAGAAAAGAAATATAGCCAACATTTGTATAGTCAATGCTTATTGTCTTTATAGTTAAAGTTTAAACCCTTTTCCTTTCCATCTTTGGCTGTGTAAATTAGAAAAAAGGGTGTGTCAGCCCCCTGGCACTTGGCTATATAATTAAGTGTGCATACCCTGAAAGCTATAGATCAAGTTTGGTGGCTCTAGGGTGAAGTAACAGTTGATTCAATTAAATAAAGGCATTAAGTTAATTGCAAAACGAAAAGGAATGAATTTGAAGGGAGCATTGACAAATGGGCACGAAAGGTGCATACATGCTAATGTGCTGTAGACGCTTTAGCCTAGGATGAATAAAACGACAATGTGATGGCTGAGATGGTTGCATACAAACAGTTGAGCATGTTTAGTGGAGTTACTTTAAAAAGTACCGTAGGATCAATTCTGAAGAGGTCCTCCATGTCAAGTATTCTGTAGAAATGAATGAAACGAGTGATTAAATATTTTTGACTGCCCTCGTTCCTTTTCTGTTTTTCCAATCCAGACAAAACTCTATTTCCATTTTTTTTCTTATTTTCTTCTGCTTATGTAAGCCAGAGCCTCTGAATTTGGTGTACAGGTAGACTATCTGAACAAAGGCACAACACATTGCCCCTTTCATCATTTCTTTGTTCATCTCTCTTTTATCTGCACACCCATACTGTTTTTTGTACTCCTATGTTTCAAATGAGAGCCACCAAACCTGAAAAGCTTTCTTCAACACTTCTCGTCTACTACCAGTCTGATCACATATTCTCTGCTGATGTAAAAACGTACTTACTGGAGCATTTCTCCTGCAGCACTAATACAGTAATAAACGCTGATGAGAGCACTGAAGGCTTGCAGAAGCAAACTGTTAATACACCTTTAAAGGAAGAGAATCTACATCCCTGTGTCATCAGCAGGTTGTATAGATGAGATAAGGATGACACTAGATGTGGTGGCATCCCTCCTCACGCCTGAACCGTACACGCACACATACCAGTAACTTTCCTCTCATACATGAGAATGTCATGCACTTAGTTTGGGAAATTTCCACTCTTGCCTTGAACAAATGAGGCCTAGAGGAGGCAGAAACACAGCATGAGGACTATCAGCGAAAAAAAAAAACATACAAAGAGGCACTGAACAAACAATCTATATATACACATTACTACTACTTGTCATGCAAACAAAATTAGCTATTTTACATACAATAATAACTTTACATACATTTAATATTACAAGACACCAAAAGGTATTTTTAGCTATTATATTCAATATTTCAAGAATGAAGTGATTCACTTCTGTATACTGTAATTTTCTATTTACATTGTTTTTGTCAAGTTATCTGTCTTAAAATTTGATCCCCACTTTTGAAATATAATGAATTCTGTACATTTTTTACTTTACATTTTTTATAACCTCAGTTATTCAGCTTTCTCTATCATTTCAGAATCTCCTGCGGCTCAGCTCATCATTCTGGGCACATCTAAAAATCCTTAATTTCTTAAATTCAAGCTTCCTAATGTCCTACTACATATCTGTATACCTATCTGTCTATTTATCTATATTTATATCCATATCTATTATATATGATATACATATAATCAATATGAACACAATTACGCTGAACAAAACATAGACACCAGAAATAAAACATTCCAAACAGTTACATAATCCATAGAGAGATATAGTTATAGAGAGAGAGAGAGAAAAAGAGAGACGGGGAAGAGAAAGGGAGATAGACGGAGAGAGAGAGAGAGAGAGAGAGAGAGAGAGAGAGAGAGAGAGAGAGAGAGAGAGAGAGAGAGGAGAGAGAGAAAGAAAGAAAGAATTTAGCCCCAATGGCTCATTTCCCTAAGTTCCAAAGTGCTAGTAGGAGGAGCCTTGCTTTCACAAGTCTACTATAAAGGCCCCACTCAGATTGATTTTTATGCACAGTGGCTGCTTACTGGAGGAACTTGCAGAAAAAAAACTAGCCCTATTTATGCCTAGAACACATATCTCAGGGGTATGCAAATTTCTACATTTCTATTAATTGATTTATGTTCTGTTTATTTATTTTTGACAGCCTTTCATAACAGTTCACTGTAGCCTGCCTAAATCCTGCTACAGGGTATTCCAGCGAATATCACAAATCTCTTCCGAACATCCATTCCTGAGCACTCTAAGGTAAGAGAACTAATCAGCAAACCAATCTTAAAAATGTAGAATTATAAAGGAACTTTAAATATCAAATACCACAATATCAGTCACATCATGTGAACTCCATTTACTGGGTATATTAGCCTACAGAAGCAAAACATGGCCTCTGTAATAAATTGCTAGTCTAATTTAGTAAACAGTTAGAACTTGCTAGTCTGCAGCTGTTGTGTAACATTCACTGTTACACAAGTTACTTAAAGAACCTGTGCAAATCACATGTAGGCCTGAGAGCAATGCAACAGGCACAGGTGCAGCATGCAAATCAGTGGCATAAGCGGTTGTGAAGAACCTGAAAAATAACTTAGAATAACTTGTAGGTTAATATTAATAACTAGGGTTTAATTTTAATAATAAATTATGCAATGTAGACCGAAATTGTATGAACACTAAGGTTTTTTATATTTTATTCAACATTTTAAGGTTTACATGACAGTGAACTATGTCTAGTAAATTCTTCTCAATGTATCTGCCTGAAGATCACCACTCTTCAAAAATGAATCTAGATGTTGAACAGTGATTTGACAACTTTGAACCTTAGTGTAGTTCTGCACATTGTATAATGTAGACTGTATTTAAGAGAACGGGTCTCGAAAGGGTCTCAGGGTATGAAATAAACTCACCACTCTTGAGGACGCAGTAATAATCACTGTCTTCGTCAGGAGCTGCAACCACTCATGGCGAACACGGTTCCTCAGACGGGGCAGAAGAAGGCTCAGGCCCCCGAGAAGAGCGAACAGCGCACCCCCACCGGCTCTCCATCCAGGGCCAAGGTGAAGGCCAAACTCGTCCGGTTGGTGTCCTACTTTGCTGGAGACATGGCTCCCTTTGCAGAGTGGATGAAAGGTAAAGCTAAGCCTATCTGCTTGTTTATATATAGAGTTATACACGCTGTAATGTACCATGCCTGTTTGTTGATATGGCATGTTGTGATATTATTAGCCTGGCACAGAGGAGCAGCGCTTCTATTTGTGACTGAGTAAACAGTTGAAAATGTAATAAAATATCTAAATAAAGGCAAGGCTAAGCCAAAGCTTCCCGGGAGTGTCTTAGCTGGACTTACACTTACCACCATCTAAGCCCTTCGACTAGGGGTCCGCCAAAGTCCTTACAGGGCTTTATAACGTCCCTGAGTCCGCATAACGTTAGTTAGCTATTAGTTAACCTAGCTAGCTAACGTACTTTCAATGTCCAAAACCTGAACCTCAGGAAAAGGACTTTTATCATGAATTTATACTATGTTTAGGACCACACAGTCTATTAAATTAATATATCGTCGCATTTTCACAGAAAGGCCGAGCCTTTAAATATAGCTAGCTTCATGTTTTCTAAGTTACATTGCTAACGCTAACATTACAGCACCATCGACTATCGCTAAAGACTTCCATTAATTAGCTACAAGACTAACTTAGCAACTGTTGTCTATGATAAAGGCTTAGCTTTAGGAGTTACATTAGTCCACTTACGTTTAAGGTTCCCCAAACTGAGTTTGTTTAAATTATTACCTTATTATCTATTAGTTTTTAAATAATATTTTAATAAAAGTTAAACAGTCGACGTTTGACCAGAGTCCGCAGGCACGAGGAGCACATTTCGCGGTCCACTAACGTTAGCTAGCTAGTTAGCTAACTACCTTTAATCCGTTTCATAGTAACGTTACTTACGTATTTATTATTTATTTAGTATTTCTTGAATAACACGACTTAAGATTAATAACTGTAGATAAATCCAGAGTTTTAGGGTTTAAAGCATAAAGTCCAACCTTAAGACACATTTACCCACTGCGTTTCAAGTCAGTTTGAGAAGTTTACCTGCTGATAGCGCTGTTGCCTCCACTAGGCTGCATGAAAAGGCCAATATCCTTTTTTTTTGCATTTGATTTTTCTGCTGGGCTCCACTTAAAATGCTTGTGTGCTTTTTGTACCAAAACCAGTCATTCTTCTTTTTACATTACTTTACATTAGCTTTTTACATATCTTAGGATGAAAAGACTGTTTTTGTTACTGTGCTTTTGGGACTGATGTAGTTATGTAAATGATCTCTCTTCTGATTAGCTACCCTGTATTTTGCCTCTAGCACAAAGCAGTCCGGACTAAAACAATTCCTTAAAACCTCTGTGTGAACGAGTGGAGCTTAACTTTTGTAGGCTGAATAGACATGGATCAGTGTTTCAGGGGGGTCTCCCAATGCTAACCACACCACTATGGCAATGCCCCACATACTTGTGCATTCAGAACGCAGCAAGACTCATTAAATCATTTTGTTGTGATTCTCTGGCCAGAGCACACCAGGAATACAATAGGTTATTTACACCAGTGCCCTCACTGAAAAATGCAGGTCTAACAGTGATCAATGTGTTGTTCATGTGCAAATGAAATAAATACTTATACATCAACCTTAACATGCCTCAAAGACCTTGTGCACCTTTAAACATTCCTGAACATATTAGAATGATGACATTTTGTGATTTCTATCTAGCTTCAATGTGATATTGTCGATGAAAGTCAAAACCATTAAATTAACTCACTGTTTCATAAAACAGGTCTGCAGGGACTCGTTCAATATGCTGTCAGACAGATACTGATCAGTGACAGTCAAAGTGTATTCTGAACATGCTTGCTATTTATTTAATCGTTCATGCATGGCAGTTTGTTGATTGAAGGGCTGATTTTTGTCTCCATGTGTTCAGCCCTCACTTGTCAGGTACAGTGACTGACACCACATGACAGCTGATAGCATGTTTGCAGACCAGGCCGAGCTGTCTGTTAGTGTAAGAAGGCAGATTTATATCTTTGAAGCCTTTCAGGAAGTAAAGTGTACTCAGTGTATTCAAGTTCAGTATTAACATTCAATCATCAATATTAGCATTAACTCATGGTATTCAAGCTAACCCTGTTAAAGCCTGAACAAAGGCCAGCATAGGGGGGGCCAGGGGAACGGGTCAATCCGAGTAAACCGCAAAATCAGTAATGTTGCATTTTCAGATTTAATTGCACTCTTCCTATGCTTATCAGTGGACCCTCCGACATCACTTCCTCCCCTGGGAGCTCCATTTGTTTGGGCTTGGATCCCCACCCAGGGTTGAAACAATATATGCATGCAGACAAAATGGCTGTAAACATGCATTACGCTATAACACTGGAAAGCTTTTATGATGTACTCTGGTACTCTATTGTTTTATTGTTTAATCCAACATCATTATAAGAGCACCAGTTGAACAGACACAGTAGCTGGTTTCACATGTCTTTAAGGAAGCACTTGCAAGTGTTCACCTTCCTAGCATGTTAGCATCGTGTGGAGGAGGAGGCATAGCTAATTGGTGGGACGGTCAATGACTAAATTAGGGAGAAAACTTGGCACAAGATGTATAAAGGGATATTATTTATAGCTGTAGCTTTTATTTTATGTTTCTTAATCAGTGCTGACTAACAGTGTCTTTGTAAAATGTATTGTGTCTAGGTCAGTTCATCCTCATTCAGATTTTGGATTGGGTGCTGAGAGGGGCAGCACAGGTCATGTTTGTGAACAACCCCCTGAGTGGACTAATCATCTTTGCTGGACTCATCCTCCAGAGCAGATGGGTGGCTCTCAATGGCTTCATTGGCACCTTATCTGCCACTATCTCAGCCCTCATTCTGAAACAAAACCGGTACTTCTACACTTCTATAACTGCAACACCATAACTTCTGGGTTTTTGCCAGCATGGTGTCAATGTCCCATTTCTTTCAGGGGTGCAATAGCAGCAGGCTTGTATGGATATAATGGAATCCTGGTTGGTCTTTTGATGGCCGTCTTCTCCAACGCAGGGGACTGGTACTGGTGGCTTTTGTTACCCAATATCTTCATGTCAATGGCATGGTGAGTTTTGTGACATTTATTGTTAAGTGAATGATGAAACCTGTGCCACTATAGTAACTCAATGTGTCAGTGTGTCTGATGGCTTTTCTAATGAAGTGACATTTTTGCGCAGTGAAAAATGGTAGAAAACTAGTCATGGGAGGTCACGCTGACATACTCATGACGATGATAGATAGAAAATAGATAATGTTTATCATGATGTGTTTTTCTTTAATCAAAGTCATATGATCTTGAGAGTGACTGAACAAACCAACATGTGAGGAATGCCTCTCATTGGTCACGGTAAAGGCAAGGTGGCTTAATCAAATGTCAAACCCACAGGTCTGGTTTTGGATGCCTGCACAGGATTAAATATGAGTTTGTCTTTTTCAGAGTCCTCTATTTTGTTTTATACATCACAACCTTTATGGGCGACTTTTGTAAGATAAAGACAAAGAAAGCAATGCACAGTGTTGAATAAAGGGAAAAAGCAGTCATTTTCCAGGAAGGCTGTGCTATATTGCTTCAGCTTTTATATGGCTTAATCCTATAATGTAAGGCCACTGATAACCACCCATATGCTTTCCATGGACTTTGTATTCACTGAAAAACATAATACTGTTCCTGTGTTCCTCCTCACCAGTCAGAGCTGCCTTGAAATAGAGAAAAAAGTCCTCAATGGCTCTGTACTCCACACACACAAGAAAAAACATTGAGCAGCATGCAGTAGTATCAAAGCCCACAAGGCAGTCAGAACTTTGACTTGAGAACTATGACAGACAATCTCAAAAGCCTGTTCACAGCTGTAAATAACCTGAATATTTCATGTCCTGCAGCCCAATTGTCTCCAGTGCCCTGGCCTCCATCAACAGTCGGTGGGATCTGCCAGTGTTCACTCTGCCTTTCAACATCCTGGTGTGCCTGCACATGGTGGCTACAGGCTACTACAACCTGCACTTCCCTCAGGTTCTGTTCCAGCCTCGCACCTCTTTCCCCAACCTTACCTGGTCCGAGCTGGATTATGCTTTGGTGAGATTGCTGCCTTTTTCTCTTACTTATGTTTAAAGTGCCCAAATCGTGTCAGTTTCCCTTGCTTTTTTAAAGACAAGAGTTGATGTAAAATGTAAATATTATTAAGCCAGAAACAGACTCAACTCGTATGCAAATGCGAATGACAGCACTCGGCCAGCGCATTGCAAACACATGATCCTTCTGTACAAACTGAATGCATGTTCTTATATTACTGTGGAGGTTAAAACACTTAAGGAGGAGGGCAAATCAAAGTGTCTGTGAATGGAATCTACTGTCCTTCCAACAACCACAACAACTAAACATGTGGACAGTAGAGGAATGTGTGCTGCTTTATTTGTTCTATTGTAATGAAGAGATAATGATGTATCATACATGTGTTTATATGTGCAAGCCAGTCCTGCAAGCAGGGTTGCCACCTGTCCAAGATTTTCCTGCATCATCCTTCGGTTGTCTGTCAAGGAAAAAATTAAATCTGTTTCCTGGACACAAAACGTCCCAGAATCCCAGCATTTTCATACACTAACAGTGTGTTTGCACAGCTTCTTTTTATTCAGTCACACCATTTGTATACAAAGAATGGGCTTGATTGCTTCAGATTAACCTCAATATAGGGACAGTTGTTTCAGGAAAGTGCACTAGGCAGCACTGCAACATGATAAGAAGATTAGCTGAACTGATATCTCCCAGTTGACAGGGAGAAAGCACGCTGGTGGTACAAGGCAACTTGACCATGCCTGGATGTTCCTATAGCACTGCTTGTTGGAACGTTCAGAATGTAGCTTATGCTTGAGCAGATCATTTTTAATTGTAAAATGCAGCAGTGCGCAAAACCGTGCTTGCATAACTCAGAGCACTTATATTTGAGTATGTTTCTGGCTTACAATTTCAATACATACCATTCATTCCCCCAGTTCACGTAGTCCAGGTAACTTGGAAACTAAGCTTCTTTGTAATGCCATGAAAACCATTCACATTTAAAGGTGTAATTTAGCCTAGAATGTTTTTTAAAGGGCAGCCAATCGGAACAGAAGTCATATGCATAAATCAGTCTTAAAGACTGTAACAAAAACAGAATGTTTAATTCTAAGAGATAAAGAGAAGTAGGAAAATGGTTATGTAAAAATGAATTATCACTGTTTTTGTTGAATAAACTAAGTAAAGTAGACCTCACAAAAAAAAACAACCTCTGGGCCCTTTAAGGGCAGCATCCAGGATATGTGCTGCTGTTCTAGAATCTTCTGAACTGATAATGAGGTCACAAGCTTAACACGTTGTTCAGAAGATGCTGGTACTATTAGTGCTGAATTCCAGTGAGCTGGAATTGCCACATTTTCTGACAGTCAGCATTTTGTGCGAGGCACCATGCCATATCAGACTTCAGATGAACATGTCAGGCAAAATGAACTTCAGAAAATTAAGTCATGCTCCAGTGCACAGCTTCCCACCGAAAATGACCATTTCCCTTTATGTTTTCTCTCTAGCTCTTTCAATCCATTCCGGTGGGTGTCGGGCAGGTCTATGGCTGTGACAATGCTTGGACAGGAGGCATATTCATCATTGCCCTCTTTATTTCTTCACCAATCACTTGTGTGCATGCAGTTATTGGTTCAGCTATCGGTATGGTGTCAGGTAAGTCTGCCTCATCAGGGCATGTTTTCTGATCTACTCTGGCAGCAGTCATAATGGCTTCTGCTGTAACTAAATTAAAGTTTAGAGCAAATTTAAGTAGTTTCTCATAATGTAAGTTCCAATTCTAACTGACCTCTCCAGGCTCCACCCATTAATGCGCTGTGTTGTAACAACGGTTGCCATGCTATTCAAGCTTTACAGCATTACTGTATAAAGGCTTCTCTTTAGTGCTCACTCATGCACAATCAAGATGGGCTGAGCAAGCTGTACGGATAGGTCATGGCTTACTGATGTGAGCAGTGCAGCATGTTTCAATCTTACATTTTAAAACATTTAATTAAAATTTACATGAAGGGTGGATCCAGGTTAAAATTCTATGCTACCAAGCTGGACTATGTTGTTGTAGCTAAAAAAAAAACCCTCAAAACTAGGTAGACTGAAAATGATGACAAATTTATCACTATACTAAGTTCACTCAGTCACACATCAGAACAGTGTGACCTGTGGCATTGCCACCCATCCAGGATTTTCCTAGATCATACTGAATTTTGGTTGTCCAGGAAAAATGGATTTCATTACTGGACACAAAATGGCCTGGCATGCAAACATTTTCATTTCAGCTCCTTTTTATCTGATCAGTCCATTTATATTCAAAGAACAGGGCTGATAGGCCCTTTTCACAAGAAACAGAAGTGCGTAAACGCTGGGTAAAATGCTATTGCCTTACAGACAGTTATTTACTGAGGATGTGTTCAGAATACTTGGAGAACACCAAACATACAACAATTTGGGAACCCAGACTAAATAAAACAAATGCTTTGTGGAAAAATTCCTTCACGGCTATCAGAGTATAGTAATGTCAACATCTACAGAGTAATAAAACAATGGATAGGTGAAAATCACTATAAATAAAAAGGCTAGATAAGTCATGTTAGCTGTAGATAACATTGAAATAGTTTGCTAACAGTAAATTAGTTAGCAACAAGCTAAACATGCACACATGCCAGCAAGTGGGTGTGCTGCGTTGTCATGGTTTGTAGCACCACTGTAAACATTTTCCACAATCACCAGCTCCAGTGAACAAACATCTGCTCCATGCTGAACATGGTGCAGAAATGTTACAGGGCTAATGTGGCAACCCTACTAACCTTTAACATGCAAACAAAATAAATAGCACTTAAAAGAATAGCACTCTTTAAATGTATGTGTTGTAACAAAAAATGGGGTTGTATGCCACAATGTTGCATTAGGTTGAATAGGATTTTTGCCAGCGTTTTGTATGCAGTGCATGGATGGGTCAGTTGACCTTTTAACAACCCCAAAAAACAAACGCCCTAATTCTAATACCTACAATCAAACGACCTTTCATTATGTTTGTTTCAGGTCTCGCTCTTGCTGCACCATTTGAGAACATCTACTCTGGACTGTGGGGATATAACTGTGTTTTAGCTTGCATTGCGATTGGCGGAATGTTCTACGCTCTCACATGGCAGACCCATCTCCTGGCTGTAGTCTGTGGTATGCTCCCTATCATACCAATTTCCTATTTCCTCAGTGCTAAATGATTCTGGTTATGTAAGAGCCATTTGCCATGCTATCAGCTACACGCTAATGACCTTCATTTCATTTCTCATTTCCCCTCAGCCTTTTTCTGCGCCTACCTTGGCTCCGCTATTTCCAACGTGATGGCCACTGTAAGTATTGTATTATTCACTCTGGCAACACAACTGGTCTAGATGTTGTTGAACTTGTGTGGTCCCTACCAAGCCTGTTTCATAATCAATCATTTCTCTAACGTCGTCCTCCTCAGTTTGGCCTCCCTGCATGCACTTGGCCGTTCTGCCTGTCCGCCCTCACTTTCCTCTTGATCACCACGGAGACGAAAACCATCTATAAGCTGCCGCTGGCCAAAGTGGCGTACCCTGAGAAAAACCTCATCTACTTCTGGAAGATGAAGAAGGAAGAGAGAGCTGAGAAGCTGGCGAAAGCCCAAGAGGGGGTGCAACTGCAGGAGAAGGAGGCACAGATGGAAAAAGAGGAGGAGGTAAAGATTACCATAGGAAGTCAAGAGCAGGAGCAACCGGAGGCCAGCGCAGAGAGGACGGTGACAGACACCAGTGACGAAGAGAATTTTCCAGAAAATGAAACTGTTGCTGTCAGCACAGAAACGACTGCTGTAGAACTATCTGCATTATGAATCTGCACTTATTTGGGTTGCTGAAAGAGTTTCCGCCTACTCAGTGCCCATATACACCAACAGACTGCATGAGAACATAATCTCTAGATCTTAACATAAACATCAACTCTGGGTCAAATAAGGACAACGAATGCTAGATTTTCTTAATATCTTAGAGACCGTTTTATACTGAAAGTTTCCGCTTTTAAGGCACACATTCATCTTAGTGCATTAACTACACTCCTTAAAAACGGGGTTCTTTAGTAAACTCAGTGGTTATATACACTCTTTTCTTTGCATTAAGAACCAATTTTGGTTCCCTAAAAAGCTTTCAATGGAAGCTTTTTTAGAGAGAGATTTGTGAGTTTGTAGAACCTTTTTAATATATAAAGAATCTCCACATAATGTACAGGTTCTAGGACGAACCCCGAAACTGGTATAGAATCTTTACATTATATTAAGGTTCTTTAAACCTTTAAAAAGTTTTTCACACTCGTAAATGTCTTTTTAAAGCATCTCTTGCTCTATCCTTATGCGTTGCGAGTTGGGTTACAGCAAAAGTGTGGATCGTATGGGAGGCCCTGAGGACTAATTTGAGCTACTGTTTAAGGCAACCGAAACTGAATGTTCTATGGCAGGGGTGCCCAATCCTGGTCCTGGAGGTCTGCCACCCTGGAGAGCTCAGATCATGCCTGCTTCTAATATTCAGATTTTTCTGAAAGCCTTCAGGAAAATCTGTATATTAGAGGCAGGTGTACTTGAGTAGGGTTGGAGATAAACACTCCAGGGTGGTAGATTTCCAGGACCCGGACTGGTTACCCTGCTCTGTAGCATAACTCAAAGAACCCTTAGTAATGCATAAATGATTCTTCTTATGTGTGTCATTCTCATTATGTTACAGATGCTTCCACAAGATTATTATGATCAGTTATTACATGAGGCCTATTAGTTTTGTGTATAATCTCAATTGAGAACCTGTTGTATATAGTTCTATAAAGAACCCTTTTAAAATGGTTCTACATAGCACCTTTTTCTGAGTGTACATATTTTCTTTGTATACTTTGTGTTAGAACATATTCGAGTGTTCAGATTGTTCAGAGTGCAGACAAGTGCTACTGCAGGCAATTCCAGAACTGGACTATCTATGTACTTTGAGTGACTGTCTTTATTATATGATGTGCTTGAAAGATCAACACTTCTTCCAAGTGATGTTATGTGCTCGTCGTGGCTGTCACACATTGTAATGATCCTGCTAACTACACGCAAGACACCCAGTCTTTATGCTGACTTTGGAGGACATGCCAAGAATGAACCACAGCCTTTCTGGAAGGGAACAGTGGCCACAATTCGTAACTCTTCAGTTATGCATTGCTTTCATTCTGTTTACTCATATATGTCTCAGCAGTATTTTCCTCACACAGAAATGAATTGCACTTACTGGACAAGCATCAAACTCAAAGCTACACAATGTACCATTGTATGAAAGGTTAAGATTGCCTTTTCATAGTTTGTAATGAATCCTGCAATTTCTTTGTTTCATTTTTCTGGATCATTTCATATGATTTTTTCTATATCTGTATGTCTATATTGGGGAAAAGACAAGAAAAGAAAGAGATAAGTTATTCAGTGGTTTTGTAATACGCATTAAATACTTTTTTGTATTCTGTAACATTATATTTATTTAGTTTTTATCAGTCTATAATACAAAATATATTCCTGCCACAATGTTCAAACATACACCAGTGCTCAACTGTACAAATGCTCAAATAAAGTGTAATTAGTGTAAAATAATGTGCATTGGATGTGAAAAGTCTACAAACCTTACTGAAAATTGCAGTAAAAGAAACAATAAATAAAAGTGTGCACACCTCCACAGCTAATACTTTGCTGAACTAATTTTTGTATTTAATACAAGCGGCTTTAATAATAATAATAACAACACCTAAACTTAACAATTTTAGCAGCCCTAAGACATGATGCTTCCACCATGCTTCACAGTAGGCATGATGTTCTTTGGTTAATGAGCTGTGTTGTCATTGCGCTACATATATCTTTTAGAACTCAGGCCAGAAACTTCAGCCTTTGTCTCATTTGGGTGATTTAATGTACTTTTTGCAAACTCTAGATGGTTTTACATGAAAAATGGCTTGTTTTTCTAATATATTTAATAACCCAGACATATGTGGAATATGAGGGGATTGTTGTCACATGTAAGGAGTGACCAGTACCTGCTAGAAACTTCCAGCTTTTTTATGTTGCTAATAGACCTCATGGTCTCGAACTCACAATCACTTTTCTTCTTATCCTCTGATCAACGTTTAAGGATTTTCCTGACCCATGCATTCCCGAAATGCCAGGAACAGCTACAGGAACAGCTGACTTTTACTGGGGGTTGATCAGAATTACTTTTCATAAGTGTATGCAGGTGTATTGAGAAAAGATTTACATATTAATGCTGTAAAAAGCACTGTGTAAAAAATGTGTAAATTTGAAGTATTTTAAATAAGAAAAACAAAATCTCTTCACTGTATATTCAGCAATTACGCCAATGTTCACACACGCTGGTGTCCTGCTCATGAACTCCATTCAGGCCACATACTTCTGTAAACAGGCCATCATGTGACGCTTGCTGAGGGGTGGGTGGATGAACGGGGCTGTACCACAAGCTTCTGTTTAGGAAACACTGATTTTCCTCCGTGATATAGATCTTCCCATCTGTGGGCTGAAATGTACTGTAGAAAAATGCTGTTTGCTGTCAGTCTTGTTAAACGCCTACTCTGATGAGAAGACATTCACGTGTCTAACTGCTGACATGCAGTTAAGATATGTAGATGGCGCTACAGTTGAATGTCTTTTTGAAGATATTCAAGATTAGAAGGCCTACTTTTGCTTTCTGCATTGCAGTGCTTTTAGGATCATCACACCACATTCATCACATGCTCGTCACATGTCTTTGTGATTGATAGATACAGCACAGTAATATCTCAACTTAATAACTGACTTGTATACTGACTTAGATACTGATTTAGTCTGTTACATTGTTGTATGTATACATCACAGAATTCACACCATTTTGTACTGTTTTGAAACATACAATCAACTCATATTGAGAGATGGCCAGGCTAAAGTACTGCCTCCACACGGCAGGGTTAGTTTTAACACAGTATTACAACTAATACTCCTAAAGTAAACAATGAGGGAAGGGATAACCTCATATTCATGTTCATGTTTTAGAACTTTTAATTCACAGATTAATCAAAAATGTATGGAAGTTGTCATGTACACAAAATACATACTCAGTTTTATTGTGCTGACCAGAAATCATGCAATTGTACTGAACGAATAGTGTTTTGTATTAATTTACTAGACTTCTTAGCAACTGTTACAATTACCCTTGCATTCATTCTGCTTTTGATTGGATTGTTCACAAATGTTAGGTGCTGGAAGTGAAGTAGCAGAGCTGTGTGGGTTACTTGTATATAAAAAAACATTAATCTTGCTCAAAAAAACAAAATGTGTTCTCCGCTCTCCCTTACTTTCCTGAAGAATAAAAATCTGGCAGCGTTCAAAGTTATAAACTGCCTAGAGTTAGTAAAAGAACTTAATAAAGGAGGCGGGTGATTATCTCAGTTTCCAGCAACCACGTGCCTCATAGTCAGTAAAGGCCATCTTATCTAGATGACCCAGGTTAAGATGTTATCCCCAAATGCCCTAGAATAAGCTTGTATCTGATGCACTGTATAATTCCCACGCCTCCTCTTCAGTCACGGAAATACAGATTTCATTAAGTATCTCTTTTTTTAGGAGTTAGTACATGACTGCTTTTATTACATGCAAGAATACCCAAAATTTATACCTGTAAGCAGAGAAGTCCTTCCCATTAAACCCACTCTCTTATCACCACTACCACCTGAAGTGCTCTAAAGTGGAAGACTGAGATCCATTCTGATGACCTACATCAGAATGGATCTCAGTCTTGGGGATGGCCAAATGCCTTCAACTTGGCTGGCATTCATTTTGTTTTCTAAATGAATTTAATCTTCTCTAAATGTAGAATATTCTTAACACATTTTAGCATATTAAGCTAAAGCATACTGGCATAAAATATAGTGGACCACTTATATCTTACCTTTGATGACATGCACAGAGGTAGACATTTGCTTTGACATTGTCTTTTAAAAGCTGTTTTAGTAAAGAGCAAAATTTGCAACCCGGTGATGCCAGTGATTATAACAATGACATAGGAACTTCAAGATAATTAAAATATATCAATTACCAACATGCCTTGTGTACATTTGAAGCAATTTATTGTACAGTCTCACAATTTCCAGCAGACCAAGGTGTGCGTGTAGGGGAGGGGCTTATAAGGGCAGACTAAGCCCATCCACACCCCTTCTTGACTCCAGGCCTGCATAAGGGTGAAATACTTGGCAAAGTCTGACGTAGTCTAACCTTTGTGTCATGGTGTCCTATCTTCAACTGGATAACAGCTTTGAAATTCGTTCAAACCTGTATCAATACTTTCCATGCAGGCATCAGTTTTTTTTGTCCCCAAGTCCTCCTCTGGTAGAGTTTTAAAAGCCACTGTATGATGAGTCATTAAATTAGAATATACTCTGTCCCTCCTTAAATGTTCACCCTAAATTATTTATCAAGATTAGGAGGTCTGGCATTTTCAAAATTAGGTCCATATATGATCTCTCATTTATAGAGGGATGTGTGTGGACCCCTAACCATCACAACTATATGAGCTTGATGGACATTTCATTCCAAAACCAAGGGCATTAATATGGAGTCGGCTTCTCTTTGTGGCTGTATTAGCATCCACTCTTCTGGGAAGGCTTTCCACAAGACTTTAGAGCGTGTCTGGAATTTGTGCCCATTCAGTCAAAAGACCATTTGTGAGGTCAGGAACTGATGTCTGGTGTTCAGTGGGGTTGAGGTCAGGGCTCTGCCGGCCACTGGATTTCCTCCACACCAAACTTGTCAAAACATGGCTTTATGGAACTCACTTTGTGCACAGGAGAACTGTCATGCTGGAACAGGAGAGGGCCTTCCCCAAACTGTTGCCACAAAGTTGGAAGCTTATAATCCTCTAAAATGTCTTTGTAGCATTAACATTACCCTTCACTGGAGTCCCAGACCTTTATCCCTCTACCACCAATCTTTACTGTTAGCACTATGCATTCCTGTACGTAGCATTCTTCTGGCATCCGCCAAGCCCAGATTCATCCATCAGACTTCCAGATAGTGAAGCTTAATTCATCACTCAAGAGAACACATTTCCACTCTTCCAGAGTCCAGTGGTGGTGTGTTTTACACCACTCCAGCCAATGCTTGGCACTGCACATAGGGAACTTAGGCTTGTGTGCAGCTGCTCGACCATGGAAACCCATTTCATGAAGCTCCTAACGCAAAGTTCTTGTACTGATGTTGCATCCAGAGTCAGTTTGGAACTCTGTAGTGAGTGATGCAATAAGAAATGGGTGACTTTTACATGCTATGCACTTCACCACTCGGCAGCCCCACTCTGGTAGTCTGAGCTGTTGTTGCTCCTAGACATTTTCATTTCACAATAATAGCACTCACAGTTGACCGGGGCAGATGAAGCGGGGCAGAAATTTCACAAACTGAAATGTGGCAAAGGTGGCATCCCATGACAGTGCCACCCTTAAAGTTACTGAGCTCTTCAGCACATCCCATTTTACTGCCAGATTGCTTTATTTTACACATCTGTTAGCAATGGGTGTGGCTGAAACACTGGAACTCAATCACTAGTAGGGATGTCCACATACTTTTGAAATCTAGGAATCTATGTTCTGGATACCAAAATCCCCCCAGTGATCAAAAGTGCTATCTAATTTAGACAGTGTAAAGGAAGAGTTGCTATAAATAGGTAAGAAATTAGGTAAGAAGAACTTGCTCTGAGTCTTGATTCGCCATTAAATGTGAATTGTGCTATGGGTAATGTAGCTATAAAAAATTATATGTAACTTTACTGGGGACAGCAGTACTCCACTGATATCATAATATCATAATATCATTATGTCATAATGTCATCCTTTTAAAGTGGAACCAACAAGCCATATACTGATCTGACTGATGTGGAAAACAACAGCTTTCACACAGACACAGTCAAACTCATCATTTCTGAGAGTGAAGCTGGCATTTGAACACTACTGTAATCTTGACATACAGCTGTCAGTTGCACAGGGTAGATAACATAGTTACATTCTCTAAATTACAGCTGTCAACTGTCATACAACTCACTGCTATTTTCCTTTGCGCTTGTCTGAAACCTAACAGAATGGGCATCTATCCAAAATGTATGATTTAGAGAGTTTAATAAGCGCAAAACTTGACAAAAAAAAAACAACAAAACATGTAACATGACCAGACGTGTTCAACCTTTTACATATGACTGTAGGCTAATAGTTTCAGGAATGATAATGTGTTTGGTATTGACTGACTGAAAGCAAAATACATTCAGTTCCACTCTTACATATTACACATGTATTTATATATATTTTCTGTGCATGTGGTGGTCCTGTAGTGGTCCCTTTTCAATTGATGGATTGGGCAGAATAGTGCAAGGGGGCTTTGGGGCAGGGATGAATTTAGCTTGCTTGAAAGAGACTTTAGTTCCCTTAAATACAATACAATCTGAAGCTTGAGGGGTCCATGGATTCTGAACCAAATCATTAGCCATTTGATTATGTGTAAGTAGATATTGGTATCAATGACTAGATGTAATCTGCTGAAATCTACAGAAGATGCCGGATCTGATATTGGAGGGTGAAAAAAGAATGAATCAGATTGAATACTGTAACAAATCTATCCTGAAATAGCACACACTCGCATTGTGTGATGTTAGCTGTTTTCCTTCTTGTGAGGTACTACAGCGATTGAGTAGTTTGAGCATGATAGCCTACTTTTAGATGGCCATTTAAGTAGAACACTTCAGTTAAAAATGAAAAATAGCTGAATTTACAGTGTAATAGTTTTTAAAGAACAATCTGATCTGCACCAGCTGATAGTCAAAGTTTCAATATCACAACTGGAAAAGAAAAAGTGGAATTGTGCCATCTCTATTTATAAGAATATATTTCTTGCAATGGTTTGTGTGAAAAATCATGACACCAAATAAAACTCCACAAGTCCATCTTTCCTGCTTCTTCAACAAGATAGAAATGTCACTATTCCAAGTTGAAGGTAAACCAAAGGAATGATTTGAGATTCACCCATTAGAGCGTGTTTGTATCCGTCCTGTGGTTTAGTCTGTGTAAAGGTTTTCTCAGCTTTTCTCATGCTTGTATTTGTATGGGTGTGATAGATGGTTTATACTGTTACTGCTCAATGGTCATTAAACATTGGTAACTGCCACTGAATTTCATTTCCAGTGACTGTGTGAGTGACTCACTGTTCACGTATGTGTACTGATAGCACATACAACTCAGTGTTCACCATTGCATACACAAATTTTATATAGTTTGGATCAATCTCCTAATGTAGCCTATTGCATTATGCTACTCTATGGTTTGATCAGTAGGCCTGCTCATGATTGTGTGAGTACTGTGTTTGATCAGACTGGCTCTTCTGACTGGACTCACCTTGAGAGGAGTGTATTGACCAAGAGCGCATATAAGAGAATCTGTCTGATGATGGTCTATTGGTATGTTATTTTCAGTCCATGCAGAAAACTAAACAACACATGCTAAAAGAATGTTTTACACACCTATTTTCATTAGAATGTTTTATGGGGTTCTGCTTTTCGAAAATTTACACTAAAAGAGCCTTACACAGGCCACAGTTTTGGCAACTGAAAAGAGAATAAAGGCAATAATTTTTGACTGGAAGAGATTCAATTTAAAGATTAAACAGGCCTAGAATGAAGTTTCAAAACTGAAGCCTTTACGATAAAAAAAAAAAAGAAAAATAGTGACTGAAAATGTGTATTTCCCTTTTGCCCTTGCAGGGCAGACACATTCAAACAGTTTGAGTGGCAGCAGACAAGTGATGTATAGTCACTTCATGACATGACACTTCCGACAACATCTGTAGCCAGTTTTTGAAATGATGAGAATATTCACAAACGACAGTGCAAAAGTGCAAAGCATAGAGGGATTTCCTGTTACAAACATTACTGGGTGCACGCGAAGCCTGAGGGGAAAACCGCTCTGGTAACCTAGCTGGTCACAAGATTGTAAATTTAGTCATTTGTTGTAATCAACGTACATTTTGCTTTGTTTGTAAATTCTTGTCGACTCAATAATAAAATGCCATTTCTGAGTTGAATCTGTTTGTCTTTCATTTGTAAATTAATATAACATCATGTAAAATGTTAACGAACAACAGTCGACAATCAGTATCGGCTAGTCACAGGGTCTCTATGGACACCACACTGAGTTTGCTCTTCGCTAAATGTTTAGATAATAGGAGCTATCTAAATCACAAAAAGCTTCATAGTTTGCTGACATGTCCTATGAATTTCGCCCAGCCTACCTGGTTTTGTTGTTTGTTGAGCCAGTCTATCCTCTCCTTATATGACAATATCAGGAGCATGGTGGTACTGTTAGTGTCGCTAAGCTACGTAAACACAGTTTAGTGGGCCAGTAACAAAGACTATGATCTACTGATCTAAACCAATATTATTTAGTTAAGCTATCACTGATAATAATCACACACAGTGCTAACTTATTACCTAGCTAACTAGCTAATGTTAGCAAATAGAAATGTACCGGGGTTCTGGCGAATTGTTCAACCTTGTCGAAATGTCCTACCATAGCACATATTAATGCAGCTCTACATAAAACTGTAGGTGTCGGAGGGCATTTTGATAGCTTAAATCACACAAAGCTGAGGTCAGCTTTTTATTCATCAGCTTCTTGTTTACATATTTCCATTCCACCTTAAATGGTGCAGCAGTTACATTCTGGCGCCTCAGGCCACTGCCCGCTCAGGCACCATATAAGGTGGACTGGGAAACTTTGAAGAAGCTATAGGAATAGGAAGCTGACTTCAACCTCGTCTAAATCACTGTGTTAGAACCAGTCAGCTACCAGTATGGAAACAACATTGCAGATGTGTTGACAGCCAATCAAACTATAAAAAAAGCACAGACGTCTGTTTTCGTTGGGACCATTGGGACCCCAATCCACCCTTTCGATGACCCGGATCTAAAATCTTCTGCGGTGTTTGGTAAAGGGATGTTATCTCCTCGGGTTATTAGACATTCTCTTCCTTTTCATTTTAGTGTATCATTATTGTAAATGTTACCTGAAGACAGATCTCCAGAAAGGAAATGTACTGTTTAGTTTTATGTATTCTGGATTGTTCTTTCAAAACAATCTGAAGCAACCAACAAACACCATGCACACCCTAGTCTCGTTACCACTGAAACTAAAATCAAGTGTTATCTTATCATTATCTGCATATAAACACATACATAGGAAAATAAACTGACAGCTTCCTTATTCATTAGTAAGACCACAAGTCAGGTTATCATATAAAGAAGAACAGTGCCATCTAGTGGGACTGACCACAATTACACAAGTTATAATACAGAGGACCAAGAAAAACATCAGAGGTATTGTAAAGGCAATTTATTTATGTTTTTCTTTTCATTTTCCTTTTCAAAGAGACAGTTCAGCAGTATCATATACATATATATATAACCTCTGAATGTTATAGGTGAAGTCCAGTGTAAAGCTTTTGCACAAAAATAAAATACTGGAGAAGGAGGGAGGGAGAGGCCAGGAGTGTGGAGAGAAAGAGTTAAATAAAACATTTCCCAATGACACATGATAAGCACTGCATGCCAATGGGATCTAAAAGATGACAGTCATAGCATCTTTGCTCAAAAATTAAACAAAATGACCAATAATAACTAAAGAAACTAAAACAGTGGATAAATGTATATTTCAATCTATAAGAGCAAGTGAAAAGGAAATCAACATACATTCATTTAATAGCTGTACAGGGACATCTGAAAGTGCTGAAGAGCTTATCAATGGAACAGGAGCTGAAGAGCTAACGGCAAACCCACATACGTCTCTTAGCCCTTGAGGCTGACACTGGCTTCTGTTTGCCTGTTTCTTATTCGATTACCCTCGATACCTTAAATGGTGCAGCAAGAACAGAAAAAACTGAATAAGAATCTGGGACATAAGAGGTTAACTTCAGCTTCTTTCTTAGCTCCACCTGACATTTTCATAGAGGAGGGGGGAAAAAAAAAATAATAAAAAAAATCACCCATAAAAAGCTGGATGATGCACAAAATTCCTTGAGTGAAACCCCACAAACCGACAGGTGTGGATGTCTCACTGTATAAAGGCTGTAACAAGGTTATCTTAATAGTCACGGAAATACAGTAAGAAGTATTGTACATAAACCCTTATTTGAAATCAGTCTCATTTTGCATGGTTTGAATCGGGAATGAGGGAGCACCAATACTACTAACCAGCTCAATATGAACTACAAGCATACGGTAATTCAGTGACAAGGTAGAACCATCTTCGCAACGTTGGTCAGACAGCTGTAAACAAACCCATCCACTCTGATCGGTCCGAGCTTTTAGCTCATGGAATTTTGGTAAGAGGCTTTTTGAACAACGAAACGACTAAGGGGACATGCTACAGCCTCGCAGGAACGCACAAATGAGGGCTGTAGGACCACAAGTGTGCCAAATGGGACACCTGACAACAAAGTCAAAACTGTGACACACAGTGAAGAGTAACCTTCGGCCTTTTACTTGATAAAACAGAATTTCTTGTTTTTTGTTACAAAAAATCTACAGTACCGTAGTAGTTAAAAGGGAATTCCACCAATTTTCCAAATATTCTGAGTAATTCAATCATCGAGATATAAAAGTCATTCAGAGTGGTTTGAGGTGAAATAGCTAACTGTACAGAAACTTCCGATTAGGATTTCTTTACAGTGGTGATGGAGACCAGGGGTCACAATGTCAATAATGCAATTATAGCCATTTTAGTTACTAAGCAAAACCACTGAAGAACCTACACGACTTCAGAGTTTTTATATGTAATGTTGATTTTGGTGAAATAATTGTAAATCTAAATACATGTTTCCTTTGGGGACTGTTTGCCTTCAATGTCCTGCATGTACCTCCCCCACCATGAACAGATTAAAAAAAACATACAATTTAAGCCAAAACAAAACAATCACAAAACAATGTCTCAGACATCATGAAGTGTATCTGTAACATTTCTGTGAAATAACTTGCTGTGAAGTAGCTTTTAGAGGCATTAAACTCTTCAGACATCTGTTTCCTATCAACACCACTGTAAACAATTCTGACTTGGCAAGTGTCTCTAAAATGGAGAATTTCACATCAAACCATCAAACTCTGAATGATTTAACCATTAAATGATAAAAATATAGAACTTACGAAAAGTCCACAGAATTCCCCTTTAAAGTGGGTCTTTCAATGTTAATCAAATTCTGTAACTTGACATACAAAGATCAAATTGCTGCATGCACCCATGTTTTTCTGCACAAACGAGTTAAGAGGACTTTCATTTTTAGGTCAAGAACTTATTTACGATAACTCCAATAGAGCATAAAGGCAGCATTTATGAGAAGCATAAGAACGAATAATAGTATTCCTTGCACTTGATATTGTATTGCGTAGTTACTGATTTTGCCTGCAGTAAATTATTGGCATTGGTGGTATTGGTGGACCCCTACATCAGATGCAATGGTGTAACATTCATAAAGCCACTGATGTATTCCCACACAAAATGAGAACTGCTTATACATTCAGCAGGAAATGTAACTGCATCTCTAACTTGGCATTAGCACAGTTTAAGTACCGTCTCAGGTCTACATGTTATCAGGTGCAATAAAACAACTTGTGCCTATACAATAATTACAGAGTACCATGATGACATTGCACAGGTACGAAGATGCTGAACCATTTAAACTGCCCCATCTCATTAACAGTAGTTAGCAATTTGCATTGTTGCTATTATATTCAACAGGAGTAGTCTGTCTAACACTAAGCCCTAGAGATCTCTTCATCTTCAGTTTCAAACTACAGTTGACTCCAGAATTATTGGCACCCTTTGACAAATATGAAGAGGGAAAATAATCTAACAGTGATTTCAAGCACTTTTATTAAGATATTTATTTTTACATGATCATTTTCAACCTTGTGTTGTCAGCAGGGGGGTACCTACCATTGCCTAGGGCAAAGACTACCCATGGCTGCTCTCTATCGGGTTAAAAGTTGGTCTGTCTGGGTCCTTAAAATGTGGCGATGATTCTTTTGCTTCCCAACAACCAAGAATAGTTTACTTATTTCCCTCCACATCTTTGATTCTAAGTTCTGCTATAGACTGTCTGCAGTAACAACACTCCTTATCACTTCAACAGCAATGGGCAGGAATATGTAAATCTGCTCAGGCTTGTGACATGACAACCACAAAGAAATCAAAATGGGCTGTTCTGCAGCTTAGTTCATACATGGACTGGTATAAATATATTGTAACAACATTTGTTTACTATCATTATAAAGGCCTTTTAAGTAATAATTCAATGTAATTTACAAACAATTTTTGAAGGGCAATCTGGCTCAATGTCATTTTCATCTATCTTCAGCCAAGACAAATTTTAGAGCATTTAAATGGGTCTCAATAATTTTGGCACATGTTTACAATTCCTTGTTTCCAAAAAACATTAAAATGTTTGAAAAAAATGTGTTAGGATTCCCCTAATGTATGAGCATTAAATGTGTCTTCTTCATATATATTAATAGGTACCAATAATTCCAAAGTCTACTCTACGTAGCCTTCAATATTTTTCCTGATGCATTTTAAGTTAATATTATAATTAGATACTTTCAACGTCTTTCACAATGTGCATAGCAAACAAAATAAAAAACCCACACTTAAATCCTAAGCTTTAGCATAAACTTTGTCAAGGCAAAGAAAAAAAAAAAAGCTTCTGACTTCACTACGTGCAAGTCCGCACAAAAATATAAAACACAATATATACATCGGCAAACTAAAACAAACTTTCAAACTCAAAGCAAAGGACGAGGCTTGTATGGAAAACTGCTAAGGCAAGAGTATTTACACAGTCCCGGCTACAGGCGTTGCAAGTTCCAGATGACTATGCACTTTTCAAATTGTACATAAAGGGAAAAAAGCAACTCATAAATGAGAGGCTTTGCAAATGCCTTTAAAAAACTGATTGTCTGCACATATCCAGACAGATACGCTATCTTAGCACCACAGGTGCACGACCATCAACACAAAAAGGAGTTCTATTGTCATACTCGCAGCCATCACCATCGCAGGATTTCACAAATCAAATTTGCCTTTCATTAATTGACTAGTTTTTTGGCAACGCAGGCAAAAGGCATGTTGAAGAGATACTGCGGAGAGGGTTTGGTCTGTAGCTATTGCAGTGGGAAGCAAATGAGTTCAAACACATCATCGTTCATAAACCAACCAGAGTAACCCTGAGCAAGCTGGAACTCCTAATAGTGCAAACAGGTTCATAGGCCAGAGCCACGAATGTGCAGAGATGGGCTGTCTTGAAGCCACCCCAAAAGAAGCGAGTTTCCCATGTGACCTGAAGCAACAAGCAATGCTTGAAGGCAAAAACAGGCACCATGTCTTTACCCACAAAACAGGAAGCCCATAAACAACACAGTGCTGACAATTACATGTAACATTCTAAACCATAACCTCATTTGCTTCATGAGTTGATGATCTATTTTGTAACCTTTGTTTTCATGAGACAATCTAGAATCTAGCCAGCTAGTCAGTTTAGTCCACAAAAGAAAGAGAACAGGAGGGTATAATAAACTGAACAACAAAAGCAGTAAGCTCTATTTAAAAATAAAAATAAAAATTACAAATATAAGTACCCCCAATTCTTTCCCGTCCATGGCCCATCTCTGCACACGTATGGCTCAGGCTGTGTGTTACGGTAACGCCACTCACAGGTACTCGGCCACATCACCTGAGGGGGGGGAAAGGGGAGTGTGCAACAGTGAGACAGCTGCAGGCCCCTGAAGCTACAGCCATTTCCAAAGTGTGGCCAGGTTCCTGTCCATCCATCGCATGTTCAGCTTGATGGTCTCGATGGCCTCCTGAATGCTCCTCATTTGAGATCCTCTATCCTTCAGAGAGCCAAAGAACCTCTCAACCTGAGGAAGAATAAAATCATGGTATTTTAAAAGCAATAAATCAAACAGGCATAATTCTCCCCTTATCCAAATGTACATGAACAGTTCAAGAGCTTGGACGGGTTAACTATGGAGAAGAGAAAAAAAGAAAAAAAAAAAGATTTCTAAAGCTCTGTGGATGTAGAGCTGTGGCCAGCCTTTTTAGATGAAAGGCTTAGTGTTGCGCAATTAGCATAATGCAGAGGAATGAACTTCAAAACTTGGCAGACAAAAATTGGCAGGTTTTTGGTTCGGTGAGTAACATAACAGAGACTGCCTCAGATGGGCTAAAATAGTTGTGTCAAACTCTAACACTAAAAGGGCCATATTAAAAAAGCTCAACAAATCTGTGGGCCAGAGAACACCTAGATTTAACCTAGTTTAACCTCTTTAAATGTCCCCAGGATGTTGGTCTTTTAAACATCTTTTCTTTGCTGCAAGATTAATTCTTGTGCTCTTGAGACCCTCAGGATGGAATGAAGGTGTCTGTCAGTGAGACCAGACCTGTGAGATGATTTGTTTATCTTCATCAAAGAGAACCACTGCTCCCCCCAGGAATGTGCTACCAAACATGGACAGCAGACAGGCGGCGTGTAGGCGGAGCTTTGGCATCCGTTTTAGGTTGGAAACTGGCCTGCTCCTTCAGATTCATACTTGGCCTTGAGTGCGCCATTGCACTGTAGTTCTACGAGTACCATTTGCATGTTAACTGGTGCAGTTTCCACATCGGCTGCAAATGGGTTAGGAAAAATCTCAAAATTGAATTTTTGGGTCTTGAAATCTGTAAATGGCCTTGCAAAGCGTGCTCAGTTTGATAGTAAAATACACACTTGGGAAAGCTGTGTGTAGTGAGCTCGCTTGTGACTGCTTGGCAGGATGGAAGGTGTATCCTTATGTAGACACATTTGATTAACCCACAAGCGGGTGTATAATAAGCTTGGTGTGTAATACAGTGGTAGGCCGTCAGTTCAGATGTGCAATTCTCTTCCGGCATTTTTTTCTTGTACTCTCCCCACCAGTCCACTCCTATCACTGCACATTGCAGGCGCCCTGTCATCAGTCCCGTGAATTTGCCCCAGTGGCAAATTTGTCATTAAAACATTTCTCCACTTCCTAAAAAATGCATGCATTGATTTAACACCCAGAAGCTCTTCCGTAATTGATAAGTTGGTGTCCACCGCACAAATGAAAATTGACAATTTAGTTGTGTCTGTAGCATCAGTACTCTCATCAACAGCAAGTATATAAGCTAAAAAGTAATTTCCTTGCTCTTGTAGATCGGTGGCTAACTCGTCCACCCGATCAGCCACCACATTTCTGCTAATATTGCAAATGCTACAACATTTGCAAACGTCCTTTTTCTGGACACCCTACGCTGCAAACTTTAAGCATGGAATCCTTCAGAAAAACACCCTCGGTGAAAGGTGGGTCTGAAATAGCTATTTCTTCTGTCATGATGCAACTGGCTGTTACTGCATTATCACTTTGTGATTTGGCCTTCGTAAACATAGCCTGCTGTGCTTCAAGGCCATTCTTCATTCATGCCACTTTCTGTTGCCTCTGCTGTCCATCCAACTGTCCATATTTATGACTTTGTCCACTTTTCTTTTGTTCATTTATTTAGCTAGCTAGGTGTTTATATCGGTTGGACTGCTGAAACGCAGCTAGTGTATTCGGTGATATGACTGGTGTGGTAGGACTGTGGTGTAACCGTTGCTCTGTAGATAACGGTTGGCAGAGGGGGCAGGCGCGCACATTACATTGTAGTGCAGCGCACTGTGAAACGGACTAATATTCATAGAAAATTAATTTAGCGGGCCGGACAAACATAACATAATAGCAACTGCCTCAGATCAGCTAAAATTGCAGCTAACCAGTAACAGAGGATGCTGAGGAAGTCTCGTCATGCAGGTGGTCTTTTCTCTTCAGTCGACGACGTGCCGACATGTCAGTCTGTCAGAGAAATGTATTTTAACTGTTTCTGGACCTAACACAGTGTTGCTGCTTCTCAGTCATATCTTTAACAATGGTTCCTTAGCAATGCTTATGTTAAGGCACTTGCATTTCCCAGAAGGAAGGTATAACATAACATACTTACTTGCAGTTCTGTTAAAACACAAAGCTGGTGTTTAACTGAATTATTGGTCTGTATATTTTCTCCATCTTTCCGTGATGAAAAAAGAATCAGGTACCTGAATAGTGATTTCAGTATTCAAATACTGGCACCTCCTTGAGTACCCGTGCACATTCATAATGGTTATAAGCTGTCATTAATGGTTAGTTACCTTAGCCTTGCAGCTTCAGTGCAAAATTAAAGACGCAAACTTTAGCCAAGATACGGCTGGTGTCTGATCAACTACATCTGGGGTAAATGGAAAACTGTGTAGTGAACGTTTTGATAACGAGCTGATCGGCTTTCAGAACCCACCTCATCAAGATGTGTCTTTGTCGAGAACTGACTGGTTGTGGACATGATGATGCTTTGCAAGGGAAAACTTCCAATGAGAAATCTTAAACAGAAATGTGAACAAGTGTGTTAGAAATATACAGACCTTTAGGAATAAACAAAAAAAAAAAGTTTTGCATAGTTGGTGCATATTTGGCTTCCCCTATTTCCCAAAATCTAGTGATAAGGAAAATTTATTTAAACTGGTACCATCACCCAAGAGATGTTTCTCTGCCATATAGAACTGTTGATGCACTTTCCACTTGGAAAGGCCTTTTCTGGACATGTCTGTCTGTATGAGCTGAAAGGTGGCAGCATTCCTTTTAAAAACACTCTCATCTCCTCCAACTATTCCCCTTCACCATGCTTTTTCGTGATTGTTGTAAGAGACATGTGAAGGAAATGTCACATGACACTACATTTATGTGTAAATGCATTGTATTTCTTGGTAACAAAAAATCTTTTTCAATATAGGTTCTCACAACATTTCAGGTATCACCAAACAATTTCTAACCAAAGCTGAATGGAAAAATGTTTTGTCGTCATTCATAAAAGATTACCAACAATATCTGTTTGCACGGCCTACATAATTTGGAATAATGGAAACGCAGTGACGCACAACAAAGTGTTCCTTGCATGCATACGTAAGTTATAGTACTGCAATAACTTACTTTTGGGTAAGTTTGTCCCAGTTCTCCTTCACAAAATCCCAGGCATGGAGGTAGCCTGCAGAATGTCTACACACTGTGCTAATCACAAGAGGAAGTTCCGGAGTCTGAATTTCACTTCCATCAAGACCAGCTTTTAGGATCCTAAAAGGGACAAAAGATTCAGTTGTAACAAAAACATAAACTGTGCCCTCTGAAATCTGCTGCTGAATTACTGAGAGGTTTACAGTTAGGACCAAAGCCTTACCACACAATTTTTCGCACATCCTGTGTGCTAGCCAAGGCCTCCAGTGTCTTGCGCTTCTCTGAGTCATATATGGAGTGTTTGTAAGTATCAAGTAACACTTGCCAATCTTCCTTCGTTTGGGCTGCCACAGACAGAACCACTTTCAGGAGGTCTCCAGGAATACTGGGAAAAGAGAACAAATCGCACAGCTGTATCTAAATCATGGCTTTCCATCTGGGATTAAGTTCTCAAAATATCCACACTGCATTTAACAGAAAAAGTAGTCTGAAGGCTGCTGGATTTTTGCCAGATGTTCTTATCTATAGACAAAATCACCATGTCTCCATCTCCAACAAAAATCGTAAGACCTGGATGTTGCCAAAGATATTAAACATGGAACTTAGTACTGATAGGTGGGGCCAGGCATCAGTGCATATATAAAGTCAATTTCCCGAACCATATTAAACATACCCTTTGAAAAAGGGGTTGACAATTATAATAATATGTTCATGATTTTATGACCAAAAACTAGAAAAGTTGACAAATGACTGGACTATACAGTGATGGGCTACTGAAGGTTCTATATCCTTAAGCTGTAAAGTTATATTTACCACTCATTACAAGCCCAAGTTCAAACAAACATATATGCCATGATAGAATGTAGGTTTGGCTCAATGTACTTCAGCAGTTCTTGAAAGCCATCGCTATTCACCACATCATTCTCTACAATCTTACCCACCCATGTGTGATTTCCTGACAGCACCAAACATCACACTTTCTCTCAGATGAAATGGTCATCTGTCTTATTGCTTGTAGGTGTTTACTTTCAATATGGTACATCACTGGAGTTGTTCCATCATCCTCTCGAGAAAGTGCTCCAGTTTATCTAGTGGAACCAATTCCACTCTCATGCACACAACTCAAAAATGGCATTCAACCTGAGTGATAAAACCCATCTATTCAAGAAGGAACTGTTGTTTATTGAAAATGACATAAAATTAAATGAACTTTTTTTAAACTAAAGGCACTGGTTGAACAGTTGTTGTTGATTACTGGTTAATTGGTTAATCATTTACATCCAGCACGAGACCATCGTTTTGATTACTTCATGTAACATTAGTAGCTTTAAAATGATTATTTTTATTGATAAGTGCTTTATTTGATGTAAAACATGTTGCTTAACACCCTGTACTTCTTGAATCGAGAGCATTGTTTCAAACAATAAAATATGCTATGTTGCATGCTTTTAACATGTCCATCCTTTAATACCCCCACTGTAAAATCTGCAAGGATTACCAGAATCATTCAACAGCTTGCCTACGCTTGCTTGTAGAAAACCCTGTGGCTAGTATCGTCTTGTCATGCTGTGATTTAAAAGCCTCTTTTAAATAGCTGCAGCATCAAATTCTTGAGCTAATGATACAATTTATCAGTGAACTGGGAAAGATGAACTCCTTACACTTACTGTTCAGTTTTGTTGGAAGTCATCCATTGATCAAAGAGTCTTTTTGCCTGATCTGTGCAATTAGGCCTGCCCAGGTTGCAGGCTGTCTCGAGCAGGGCTGATCTAAGTGCTTGCTTAGACACAGAGCTTTCCTCTCCCCATGACTGGCTGTCCATCAGATCACCAAAAACCATAAAAATGTATGTCTGTGGGGAAGAAAATAAAACATTTTCTTGCTAGGAACTGAGCAAAAATGTCTCCTTTCTTTACAAGTGACTTCAAAACAAGGAATGACACGCCTGTCAGATAATCACAATCATCTCGAAGTGCTACTTCCTCCATCAAGTGAAGAAAAACTCACAGCAGTGAAAATGGCACTGGTAGTAAACTAAGCCATGGACACAACAAAACTGTTGGCGAGTGTAAAATCAGGGCTAAAACTGTGCAGTGTGAATGCGGTATTGGTCTGAATTATTAGGTTCAGAGATAGGTGCTGCTGGCACTCTCATATCTAGTGTGAAAACAATCTTGTGTTAGCTGAAATGGCTGAGTCTATTGAGCGCACCTGCATGAAGGCCAAGCTTTATAGGACTTTTGGGGTACTACATTCTAGTGCTTCACATCAATGACACTTTGTGCCCTGGTTATTTCATTTCCCAAGATGCAACATTATAGATTAAACTAGGTGTAAGAACAAAGACCACAGTCACAGCTCAATGGCAAGACTTTCAACAGGATCTGAAGTAAGCTAAACTTTATCCAGGCTACTGTATTTGTTATCACTTATTTTAATACAATGCCTAATGATAAGACAACATTAAAATGAGCTTCAGTATAGCTAATCTGAAGAGGTAGCCCCTCACGCTCTGACCTACTTATTAGTCACGAAAATCTGCTGCATAATGTCCAGAGACTGAACGACTTCCCCGGCTTGATTAAAGTGAACTTTGTCCTTTTCTGTTTTTGCATTAAATGGACCCACATTTATATTTTATCAGGTATCAAACATGTATGTATGCACAGAACATCTTATAAAGCCAGTTTATTCTGGAATGAAAGACATTTTCAAATGTTTTCTCTGTTTTTCTACATTTTCCTTTGTGGTTTTGTGACATAGCTACAGTAACTAAAGGAGGCAGAACATGTCTGAGTTTTGCAAACGGTCAGCTGAAACAAAAATTCATACTAAATGAAACCTATTGCTACAGACTGGCTAATAACGTTTAGTGATGGTAGAACATACCGTCATCCTGGACACCAATAACAAATCAGATCTTTTGTCCAGCAGCCTGAAGATGTGGTTGAGCTGAGTCAGGGCTTCAGTCAGTGGTGCCGTTTCTGTCTCATTCTTTAAGTATACCAACAGATTTAAAACCTGTCTGAAGGACACCCTGCCCAACCTACAACAACAAAACACACAGACTGAACCCTTTGAGAAATGTTTGTTTAGAGTCTGGATTTTAAATTCTTTCATTTCCACAAGCTCTGAACATGATGTTTGAAGATGAGGTACCTTTTAAAAAAAAAACAAAAAAACAAAAAACAACAACAACAAAAAAAGTGTACATTTACATCTTTGTGACTGCATGTTTGGGATTTGCTGACTCATCAAAAACATTCCTTAAACTAAACAAAAAAAAAACTACCTTGACAGAGCAAAGAGGTTATTGATGAGAGCTGCCCTGTCCTCGCGAGGAAGAACATTCACATTTTCCTTCAAGGCTTCAATCAATGCCCTCCAGCCCTGTTCTCCATAGTCCACTATGTAGAAACCATCACTTCTGCAGTTAAACTTCAACCATCTCACTTTGTCTGAAACCTTAAAAGTGGCTGAAACAAATTACAAGTTATTAGAAAAAAAACAAGCTTAACAACAAACTATTTCTAAACTAATGTGTTTTGCTGCAAGAGTCTGCTTCAGGCCTGTAATATTCTGTTTTGTTTACCAGCTCAGTCCTGAACAAATTGTATCCAGGCGACAAAATCAAAACTGTTAACAACATTTCTACTATTTACCTGTTTTATTCTTGAAGAGAAACACTTGCTTACAAGAGCTGGAGTTGCTACAAGTGTCATTGACATAAGTGAGGGGGATGTGCCACAGGTTGCTGTGAGGAGAACAAAGACATGTTTGAGTTCAATCTCAGCTGACTTTGATTGCCTCTTATTAGATTTCAATTTGACATGTTTGGTGAAAATCACCATGGAAGAACCTAACAGGCTTTTTGACCCTCTACAGGATAAAGGCCATTATGGGTTTTAAGGCTGTAAAGACATAGTTCAATCAAAAGAAAATACTTAAATTGAATAACAATCTGCTCATATTCCTATATATATATATATATATATATATATATATATATATATATATATATATATATATATATTTTCAAGGCCGAAAACCACAACTGAACGCCCTTTGAACGCCTATTAAAACTGGCATGCTCCTGTGATGAATATCACGGCATGGGCTCACAAACACTTTCACATACCGTTTTCAATAAGCACCGTTTTTTACTGTATCCACAAATGCAAGTTAAGACTGTACTAAAACATGCTTAAGTCCTAAATTTTGGGGAATATGTTGCAGGTATCAATCTACAAAAAACTCAATGGTCATAAGGCAAAACATTAATGTTTTTGCACTGTTTTCAAAATAATACAGGTCAAACATTTTACTAATCACTGCTTCTGTTTTTATTAGCATTTCACAGACTGTCCCAATTGCAATTGTGAGGAAATATTCCAACATATAATGTTGGTGTCAGCTAAACTCTCAGGCGAAAAATGGATACCTGCGATCTGTGGCATTGTCGGCATTCAGAACGAAATGTTCTTGCGTCAGTTTCACTTGCGACTCTGTTTTGGTCACAGTGACCAGTGGAAAGCCTTTTTGCACCGTCCACTTGTCCATCATCTCAGCTACATCAGTGTGTGGGTTTGTTACCTGTAAAAAGACGTCAAACATGACTAACGAGTATCAACCTGAATGCTTGAATTCAGCACCTCCTCACAGCAAGAGGTTTTACTTGTGAAAGGCTGGTCCACAGATCTTCACTCTGCGTGTTGCAGCCCTTGTACGTTCTCAAATACTCAATCACACCTTTCCTGAACGCTTCTTTACTGAGTGTTGCACTGAGCATAAGCAAAATGGAGGCACCCTGAGGGGAAAACAGATATGAGAAGATTAGTGTTGTGTTTGGGGGGCTGAGGAACAACAGAAGAAATGAGCCTTGAAAAACAACATTGCACCTTCTCATAGGACACAGAGTCAAACATCTCTTCCACCTGCTCTGGAGTGGACACGTCAGCAGACACAGGATGGGATGAATTCAGCGCGTCTTTGGCTAAGGCTTTGAAACGGACACTCAGGAATTCATTGTCCTGAAAATGAGGAAGCAGTGTAAACTGAAACTTGCAACTGCACAGATTTAGAGATACAATTTTAGCTAGGTCAAAGCTCTTTACTGATAACATTCATCTAGCCTTCCTTTCACACCATGAGTGCTAATCAAAGGGAAAGGGCAGTCCTTCAAACTCAAAACATTCTTTGTGAGAAGCATTTATCCTAAACCACCATGTTTGATGGCAAGCCAAAGGCCAAATATAAAACAGATATTTCCGGACTTAAAATCTGATTGACAGAGATGCAATTAATGCCATTGTAAAATACCTGATATTTGCACCCCTATGACTCCCAATAATCGAATTCTGTATTAGTATGCCAAATTGCTGAAAATCACCGTGTTGTGAACGTTATGCTCTCAGGGACCACTGAGTGTTTCGATAGATGAAATAAGAACCTGGGTTTGCTCAAACAACAAGAAGGGGCAAGAAAGGGGCAAGAATAGACGAAAGAAATACCAGGCCAAACAGGCTAAAAGATAACTAACAGGCTAAACTGCTCCTTCATTAATATTGAGCACTATTTTGAATTTAAGTATTGCAACATGTACTGTGAACGAATCAATGATTCATGGTAAAACTGCACAATAAAAAAACAAGAATACGTTACTTGAATATCTTACATGCTTCAAATGTCTGTGTTTTTGGTAGATCTACCATAAGCAGTATTAAACCCAATGTGGGAAAATGAATGCGTAGCACTGTTAGCTTGATGCTAACACAATACAGAAAATCACACTGAGATGTGAGCATAAACGAGAATTATAGTTGCAGTCATAATTTGGTGAGTAAAAATGAACCTATAAGGCAGAGGTTTCTGCATTAAACACTGCTGTATGATACTGCTATTATTATTTCACAAACATCTAAAAAGTTAGTGAAACGGCTGCAATACTCAATTGTGTGCGACTGATAATTCTTGTCCTCTTTCAGCAGCTGATAACTGTTTGTCAGAAATAGACAAACTAAATAAACTATATTTCTAGACAAAATAATGTTTGTGATTATTATAAATGATAAACACTGTTTGAAAAATTGTACTGAATTTTATATTATACTGCTTATAAAAGCGATAAGCCATGTAAGACCATGCGCAACAGTGATATGACCAATATTTTAGATATTCCACGACCTGAGGAAAAAAAAACTACAGTAACTTTAATGCATGCTTTAATACATGTTTAATCTAGCACATCACTTCATTAATACTTTCTAAAACTGAATAAGAAATGGTAAATGGACTTAATTACAAACTCACTTACAATATCAAGCTCTGGGAACACTTCCTCAGTAGACATGTACTGCATGTAGGTTGCGAAGCCTTCGTTCAGCCAAAGATCATTCCACCAGCGCATGGTGACTAGGTTTCCAAACCACTAAAACAAAACAGATTTTAATATATAACATTCATAAGGAAACCTATTTTAAACGTTAATTTCTATACTAGCAGCTAAGTAAATGAAATGATCAACAAACTAACATAAAAGTTTGTAGATAAGCACAGCTAAGACTGTAAGTTTATCAATAGAAAGATTTCAAAGACATTTTATTAGGATGACAAGGTTTTACAGTGGACCACTGTACCTGATGCGCAAGTTCGTGGGCGATGACGGAGGTCACTAGTTGCTTATCTATGGGGGAGGAATGGTCGCCTATGAGCAGAGTCGTCTCCCGGAATGTGATGAGTCCCCAGTTCTCCATAGCTCCAGCCAGGAAGTCTGGAATGCCCACTAAGTCTATTGATAAATAGGAGTCATACTAAGTCATAAAAGCAGATAAAATTAAATCTAACTAACTCAAAACTGGTTACGAGTAATGACATTATCACAGGTTCTCATGTACACATGCAGCGTACTTATTCCTATTTGTGGAGTTACTGTAACGTGGGGCTTGTCTCACCTAATTTTCTCAAAGGGTACTCGATTTCAAAGAAACCATTGTAGAACTCCAACAACTTGGCAGCGGTGTCCAGCGCATAATGAATTTGGTCCTTCTTATCTGGAACTGCATATACAGAGACCTGTGGAGAATGTGAGGCTATGAAAAAAAGAAGAAACTCCACGACTTGTCAACAGAAGAATAACTACAAAAGGATGTCTCAATTTAAGAATAAGAAAACTGCAAAACAACACACAACACTGCAACAAATGAGAATATATGTATTCTTTTAGAGTCACATTTTAAAAACATGCAACATAATGACCCTGTCATAACAGAACCTTGTTTTCCATTGTTTTAAAATCTTCACATTACGCAAGGAATTGTACAAATGGAGCAATACAAATGGTCCAAAATTACTTTGAATAAAACTTATGGTCCACTAAAATGAAGAATGTTTTTTCATTCTCCTATTTTACCACTTTGGGGACACAAAGTTTTGTCAGGATGGTGATAAGTAAGTATAAAAAAAGGTCAGCTATTCTGGTCACTTCAGACCTTCAGTGCAGACCTTTATAATACTGGCCACCTTAATGACATGTGGGAGGTAGGCATGGGGTGGGAGGTAGGTGTGGGTGGGAGGTAGGTGGGTATAGGTCAATTCGTGAGTATTGAGACAAAAGTAAGATCATACATACCAGAGTGTTTGAGACATTCTTACTGACACTGCTGAAGTTGGCCACGACAAATGCAACAAGATAGGTGCTCATATTCACACTGCTCTCAAACTCATCTTCAAAAAGCCCATTGCTTAAGTTAGCAGTGGTAGCCTGGAAAATAAAACATGTACTTAAATCTTTTTACACATCACAGCACATTCACTACATTGGATTTCACAACTTATACAGTACTGTATAAATGTCTGAGACCACCCTTCATTCGTTATTTTCCAGTCAAAATGGCCACTGATTGCAATTATTCATTTTTCAGCATCAGGAAAAAAAATAGAAAACATTTAACAGAAAATCACACAGAAGCCTCAGCAACTAAAGGTAATATCTTTTTCTGGTATTCAGTTTGTCCACCATTTGCCTTGTTGCATTTCTTACGGCTTCCATTATTTTCAGGAGACCTTGCTTTCAGTTTTTTAAAGGAATCCGCAGGGATATTTTTCCATCCCTCCAAAGTTCAGTCATAGAAGTTTCTTCTGCTTACCAGTTACAAATTCAGACTCAGTTCATAAAGCCTTCAATGTCCAGTTTCACTGCTCTAGTGCAAAGGTACTTTTCTCAGTAATGCAGCTACACATCCTTTCAGACTCACAGTGCTGAGTTGTCTTCTCACAGTGTAAGGATGGACAGAAACACCTGTGGATTTTTCCAGATCTGAAGCAAAACGTAGAGCTTTATTATCTAGTTAAAGACAAAAGCTTTGATGGTGACTGTTTTGGTGGTCTATCAGGTCTTGCATGATTGTTAGGAGCCCCATTTTCTCTCTACTTTTAAGCCTTTTTTGAACTCCAGGTTTTAGAAACCCCTTTTTTTTTTACTTATTTTCTTTTAACTGCCCCTTTCCTTATGAAAGTGGATTATCTTACAGCTACAGTCCTCAGAAATATCTCCTTTTGTCATTTTAGACGTACATTAGAGGTGGTCAATATAACAACATTTTATCATTATCATGATCACTTTTGTCACTGTGATACATAATATGCATTTCTGAGCATTTTGAAGATATTCTCAGTAGCCTACTCGAACATTACCTGACAAACTGCATGTTTCTTTACAAAGAGAGCATAATTTGTTCTGTTTTTTTCCAGATGATCTCCCCAATTTCATCATTTCCAATTCCACCCACTAGTTAGGACTCCTACAATCACACACTATCACCAGCACTAGGTGGATGAAGGCTAGCACAGGCTTCCTCTGAGACCTGTGAAGCGGGCCACCACAGCAGCTAACGCAACATCATTGGACAGTTATGTTACATCAGCTAACAGACGACTGCACTGACTAGCATCATGCTGAGAGAGGGGGACATCCTACCCATTCAGAGAGAGCGATGCCAACTGTGCTCTTTTGGACTCCCAGCCATGGATGGCTGTAGCATCACCAGGGATCGAACTCACAATCCCCTGATGATAGGGCCAACGCTTAGACAGATGCACCATTCGGAAGCCATTAGTTCTGTTTAAATGGATTTAGTGCAGCACAGCATGTAAAATGTTAAGTAATAACGATTGAATTGATAGTTTTAATGGCAGTTTTTAAATCTGGCACTACTAGTGCATTGGGTCAAAATTTTAGTGATACATATCGTGCATTAGGGGTGGGAATCTTTAGGCACCTCACAATCTGATTCGATTACGATCCAGAGGGCTGCGATGCGATTATAAAACGAGTATCGATGCATCTCGATGCATCTTTTTTTTCTATACATGATTTCTATTTTCTTACTGTCTGAGGACTTGGTAGTTTTAAAGCTAAGTATTTGTAATGATCCATAATGCATTTACGTCCAATATCTTTTATTAATAAAACAAATGGAAGTGATGTGGTAAGTGAACTGGAAGGCTCTCATTCACTGCTCTTGTTTGGAGATGCTGCTACCACTGATCTGTGATAAAATGCGCTGTTATGGTGAAATAAGATCCAGTGGGCGCGAAAGACTGCAGGTCACGTAGCAACGAGGTTTTGCCAAGCGAGTAGCGAACGAAAAAGGAAAAGAGAAAGACAGACGAACATTTGGAGATGAATGGACTTATTCGCATTTATAAGCAGCGCATTTGGTTTCCTGGTACGTTAAACATGCAATGAGAGACTGTCACACACTAAGTAAAAAGTTGCGAAGATGAAGTCGCTTCTCTTTCTAATTTTCCCGTTCCACTTTAAATGGTGCAGCAATTATATTCGGTGCCTCAGTCAGAATTTAAGGTGGCACGGGAAAGTTCAGCAAAAAGCTGGCGAGTGAGAAGCGACTTCAGCCTCGTAAAACAGCCAAAAGCTGAAAGACATTTTACAAGAAACTATTCAACTTTTGAGGAAAAGTTTTCTGGCAGATGGAAGATATATATAGCTGAAGCTTAAAGCAGAGCAAAGTAAATCTGCGTTTTTGTTTATATTTTTTTAGCCTAAACTAGGACATTAACACATACTGGACATAAATGTTGTGGCTCCCAAGGTGTTGAAAGGCAAAATGGCTCTTCTTATCATTTGTGTTGTGGCTCCTGACCTAACCTGGCTTTTAATGCAGAGGGAGCCGGTCGGATTTCTCACTCATACAGTGGTGTGTTTGTTATGTGCCGCCACAGACTGTCTGGGCGCTGCACTTACCCACTTCCAAGTTCCGCCCTTTGCGTTCCGTCAACATTACGTTATAAATTAAATATTTAGAAAACTGATTTTTGACATTTGTGAATCAATTCAGAATCGTCCACGTCTGCATCGTGATGCATCTAAGAATCGATTTTTTCCCGCACCCCTATCGTGTATCATTAAAAGTATTGTAATATGATTGTTTTGTTACATATTGCCCACACCTGGGGATGAAAGAGCTGAAGTGGCAGTAGTGTGCACAAAGGTGAAGAGTGGACAAATTAAGAACTATTAGTGTATACTTCCTGCGCTTTTCTGACACAGAAAAATGTATTTTCCTTGTAATTAATGGCCGTTTTGATTAGAATTAAATAAAAGAAAGGGTGGTCTCTTACTTTTGCACAGTGCAACAGATCTTAGTTTATGTATCTGTGTAAAGCTCATGTAAAGCTCTTCAGTGTCATTAGAAAGAATGCTGTGTCCTCAACATGCTTATATAACAAACAGCGCTATTTTACTAGAAGTTACTGAACAGGGATAATTACCTTAGGCATGTTTGAAAGGCTGATGTATTCTGCTTCTCTCGTTATCTTAATTACAAAACTGGCTTTAAAGGCGGGTTCATCAAAACAAGGGAAAGCCTTGCGAGCAGCCAAGGGCTCAAACTGAGTAGCAGCCAAAACTCTGCGAGAGAGAGACAGAGAGAGAGAGAGACAGAGAGACAGAGAGAACAAAGAAAAACAAATGAAAAAGAACAACAGATAAACCATGTCCTAAAACAATAATTTTAAGTATGTATATACTGTATTTGTGTTCCATTAAATATTATATATAATTATAACAATTAATAATTAAACATTCAGAATATTCACCCTGTAAATTAAATTCAATTAAAATAAAAAACACTGAAAATATCATTCACAGAAAACTGAGATGGTTCTACCTTCTTTTCCCATTTGTGTCAATGTAAGAGCTGTTATAGAAGCCATCGTAGCTGTTGGAGAGGTTTGCAGAATAGTGGATTTTCAAGACATAATTTTCTCCCTTTTTGAGTTCCTTTGAAAGCTTGATGGCGATCTGCTGCCAAGGCTTGTACTCCAAGATGTTCACCTTTTCATCCTGGAAAGTACCGTTGATGATCTTCATATTATAGCTGTGCAAAACGATCTTGTTGGTTTCCTGCAAGACCACAATGCTGATGGCCACGCTCCCTTGGAAGGTCATGGAGGTCAGGTTCGGTTGGAGTGAGATTTCATAATGAACTGGACGCACGCTGGCGGGAAGCCTCAGCCCTGTCCATGGGAAAAGTTCTCCATTTGATGCTTTGGGATAGAGCTGTTCAATGGAGGAGTTGGCCTTTTGACAACCATCCTTGGAGAAGGTACAACGTGGCACGAAGTAGATGATCACGGCAACTAAGGCAACCACGACTAGGACCAAGATCCCCATCAACGTTTTCTTTGCAGAAGGCATGGAGCATGAGTTGGAGGGCTGCTGACGGGTGTAGGAGGCAGCGCTGCGCTGACTGGAGCTGCGGTTCATGAAGGACATTCCAAGGAGCCTTGCGGAGGACTCGTAGTCCTCCTCTTCTTCGTCCAGGTCATTCTCCCCAAGGCCTCGCACCAACAACCTGGAACTGCGTGGCTCATAGACCACATCATCCGAATCGATGGGGTAGGAGGGGGACTCCTTCGCCAAATCCACCACGTCTGGCTCCTCCTCAAACATGCTGTTCTCAATCATGTTCCTGGGGAGTGGGGCTTGCTCTGTCAGTAAAGATTGTAGATAAATAAAATGTCAAAGTTAAGCCCTTATGCAAGGAACAACAGCACTTTTGTTGGTGATGTTAGGTTATTTCCTGTTGACATGTGGGCTGATGTCACCCAAGCTAACCAAGTGTTCTGTGAACGCACATGATTTTGACTTCAGCCTACACTTTGGCCTAAACAGGAGAGGATTAAGAGTGATGCGAACAATTTGTTAATGACATCAATGAACTGTTCAATAGAAATGTTAAATTAATGCAATATATACTGACATCTTCAGCAAAAACATTGAGGAAACACTGGGCACACTAGGCCTACTTCAGCTGAACGACTACAGTCGACATGTTACCAACATCCTTCTAAAATAAACTGACCACAGTCTTCCTTGTTTCGTTTCCTCCTCTGACAGAGGCTGCTGACAGTCTTTAAAGTACACTTTACTTGAATGTACTTTGTGATAATGTACATTATCTCCACAGACATAAGTAAAAGCAATGAACCTTCTTCGAGTTTCTATTGCACAGATGTTTGCTAACCTATCCTGTACGTCTAATTTCCTTATTCTTATGTTTGAGAGCCCCTGAGCTATAGAAAACGGACCACAAACCAATGTTTGAGCAAACATTACTAGTATAATATCAGCTAACAGCCACGTGCTATTGTCTCATGTTTCAAGGCTTCCAGGACATAGCATTCTTTATTTTCTGAGGCGTGGCTGTGCTGCGGTTCAATTCCTTATCTGCTAAGTAAATTTACAAATCATTTCTTCCTGAACCATAAACTCCCCAATAGTTCTATGCACAAATCCACCCTATAAAGATGCCCTCACCTGCTTGCAAATGCTGAACAACAATATTAAAGGGAAATTCAAGCTATTTTTACAAAGTTCTTCCTTCTTCATAATTAACTGGTTATGATGTAAATGTACTCGCTCAGGGTGATCAGATGTGAAATGCTCTGTGCAGAACTGTTTACAGTGGTGGTGACAGGAACCAGACGCCCGAAACATTTAATACCTCTGAAAGCTACAACAGAATGTTATTACATGAAATGGTTAGAAATACACTGACTGCTATCTGAGACACTGTTTTATGATGGTTTTGAGAAGGTTTTGGCCTACAACATATGCATATGTTTACGGGAAAGAGGTAAGTGCAGGGCATTTTGAAGCAAAATACACCACAAAGAATTATTTTCAGATTTACCATCAACACTACAAACAAAAACTCAGATGGTAGTTTAGATAGTAAATAAAATGGCTATATTTGCGTTGTACACATCCCAGCCACTGCTGTAAAGATATCAGAGTCTCTAAGTTTCTCTACAATGCACAATTTCACATCAAACCACTTCGAATGCCTTTGTTTACACCGTAACAACTGAACTGTGCAGAAATTTTGAAAAAAAAAAAAAAAAAAATTCAGTGGAATTCCCCTTTAACATCACTAAGCCTACCGCTACCGGTCCTGAGCTCCTTTGTTTTATACCTATTTTAAAAAAATCCCCTGACAAGGTTATGACTTCAGGCTCGCACAGGTTTATTAATAGGTCAGTTAATTCATTTGAGCTACCTTCACTAATACAAGACTATCAGAGCCAGTGAATACTAAGTATGCCATTATTTACCTGTCTAGGAGCGCAGTCTAAATTAAGTACCACCATAACATTAAACTGAGACTGAATGAAGTTTGAGGTCCTTGATGGCAGCCAACTAGCAAAACTAACACTTAAAACACTTAACATAAAACAACTGCGACACCTTTAGCAGAAGCAGCTGTTTGTATTTTGTGATAAAGGAAAAAGAAAGCTATGTAATGAACGGCTGGTAGTAGTTGCTCACTTACTGATAAGAACAAGACAAAATGCTACGCTTTTGTAAAAGTCATTAAAGGATTAAAAAGAGGCAAGTTCTCCACTGACACTGTTGAGTGGAGTTTCATTACAATGCTTTGCTTAATGCTTTGGTGAATTGCAGGAAGGGAAAATCTGGACTGTCTTCAAACCAGCAATCATGTTTTTGTTGTTGAGACTTGCCCGAATGACAGTTTGACAACACAGCTAGCTGCGCGTTAACGTTAGGCTGTTCCAATTAGCTTGGCTAGCAAAGCCTGAGAAAAATAAATAGAGGATTACAAGCGTTGTGTGGAAGTCAGTCTGGATAACTGGCACTCACTGGAAACGTTCAGAATGTCTGTGAACTAGCAACCTAGCCAGCTACAGCTGTACCTGCAAGTCAAAACTTTGAACACAGCTGCCGAGAGTGCAGGCTCTCGCTATCAGCTAGCGAGAGATAGCCGACAAGCAAATACTTAGCTAGCCAGCTATCTGTCTTACCACTTTCAAACGATTCCATATTTAGATGTCCGGCAACGACTGGAAGAAAATTTAATTCCTCTTCACGTCCACGAGCAGGGCAGCGTTACTAATCCACCTCAGCGTGAAAATATAAAACAGAGGCAGCGCCAAATAAACAACAAACAAGCTAACCTATAATATCAGCTAATAAAGAGAACTCTGTTAGCTAGTAACTAGCTAGCTTGGCTAGCCAGCTAGCATTGTTCCGTCCCGTCTCTTAACTTCGTGGCATTGAAACAAATCGACGGATGCTCAGCATCGATGTCGGTACCGTTCAGCGAACGCATGCGTTGAAGATTTAGGACACACAAGCCTTGTTTTCTCGGTTTTGAAGCAGGACGAACTCGAGCAGAGAGCCGTACTGACTGCTAGCTGTCAACAGACTCCGGCTGAAGCTTCTCACTTCTGCTCTAAGCGGCTGACTGATTGACCCCACACGCACAGCGCTCACTATCCGCTATCATTCACTGACGACCGGGTCATTTTTTGTAGTATGGACTAAAGAGACGGGGTTGATTACGAAAAGCACACGTATATCTCAAAGCAGGGGCGAAACGCAGGGCCACTAACCAAAAAGTGAAAGAAAAACGCGCACAAACGCTCTGAACAGCATTTCAAAACTAGCAGGCCACCTTCAGCAGTCCAGTCATTAGTGTAGTGTAGTATGGGTTGGGATAGTAGTATGAGAATTTGGACGTAGCCAAAGTTATCAAAGTCAGGATCCATATTCAACTGGTTTAGAGGAATAGTTTGGGAAAACATCAAATGTACATATGCGCATCTTCTTCCCCCAAAGGACATGCTTGCTGTCAAAAGTTTGCATCTTTCGCAATAGAAGTAGTACAAGTACTGTAAGTAATATACGTCTATGCCACCCAAAAGGCTTCCAGTGTATTTTGGCTACATTAGCCTTATAGGTCCAGAGCAAAAAAAGAAGATACAAAAAGCAAGTATTGTCCACCAAACAGGTAGTGACTGATTATTTTGGGGGTGTTTTATGTAAATTGGACTTTTCACCAAACTGTTCCTTCGAAAATCAAACTTGGTTTTTTGGTGACTGCTGTGAATACATTCAATCTGTTATCTATGGAAGACCATTTGCACCAGGTACACGAGAAATTGATCACTTTGTTTTTGTTTTTTTCTTTTTTTCATTTTCTGTTTCCAAGCAGCAGTATGTCAAAAATGACTTATTTTTGCAAAAATATTGATTTATTATCTCAATGAGTTTGAGATTGAGTTATTAGTTCTGACATTTATTGAAATAATGAGGTATTAAATTTCAAGAAAGTAATTATTTCAGCATATTGTCAATATTTTGATATATTAAGTCAAAATATTGAGAAAATATATAGTTACTTCAAGATACTAATTCATTATTTAGTCACAGTAACATTATTTTATGGCACCAAGTCATTTTGACAAATATCATCATGATACTAAGTCATTTCACAGTTAGAGAAATTTTTTTTTGAGATATTAAGTCAACATTTTGAGGAAAATGAGTCATTATTTACTTCACTAATACATTCAGTGAATATTAACTATGCCATTATTGACGTATAGGAGTGCTGTCTACCAAATTAAGTGCCACTGTAAGATGGATCAAACTATCACTACCAGTCAGTTCAGATTAAATGAAGCCAGTGCTCCTAAATGGCAACCACCTGGCAAGACTAACAGCTGTGAATGGCAATAAACACACTGAACAGCTAGCTGAGGTCTGTGAACTGATGCCAATCTTAACTAGAGTTAAGCTGACAAGTAGCTAAGCCGAAGCAGCATCTTATACTTAAGGCCTTTAAGGACAATGAAGCCCTGTTTACTTGCCTAAAGCAATATAGCAGTAGAAAGCAGGGAAAGAATCAGAGAACCCTCTCGTAAGTGAAAGTAAGTAAAAGACATACCCATGGATCCATATTCCAACTGGCTTAAGAAGCAAACTGATTCCATATAGCAGACCAGGGCCAGAGCAAAGCGCCATACTACTGCACAAAGTGAGCAGCATTAGCTTAGTGCCTCTGTTCAGCAATTTGAGCTATCACATGCTGACAATTTCATTGGCAATGCCTCAGTTTAAGTGACTCCATGCTATTCTTCAGTGTAGCTCTAACAATAGTCTGGTGTTCTCTCATGTGATTGTATTGACTTGCCTGTTTATCTGTATGACCCTGTAGGACTGCAGTCACTTAAATATGATATTAGTGATCGATATTTCACTCAGAGAGATAAGAATCTGTACTACACCTTAAATTAATGAGCACTAAATAAGCTCAAGACAGCTGCTCTGGTGTTCAGTAGCCATCTTTCACTGTTGTTCATCTCCATGTTCTCTAATTAAATGAACATTAAATGAATTACAGACCATGCCAAAGTCGAGGACCACCCTTTTGTAAATTAAATTTCCAGTCAAAACAGCCACAAAGTACAAGTTACTCATTTATACAAGTTATTAGTTATTCACGCTGGTGGCTATTGGTCCACCCCAGTGTCAGTGTTGTCATGTGCCTATTTTCTCCTGGCTACTCAATAAAGAGCTGTTCTTGGTTCAGAGTCATGGCTTGCATTGACCACTGTTACGATATATTTAGTTTTTAATGCTTTTGTGTAATTTGTGTTAAACATACGTTTTCTGCGCTTTTCCTGACACTTGACAAATAATGACTTAATGGTTTTGCCTGGAAATTAAATAAAGGAAAGGTGTTTTCTGACTTTTGTGCAGTGTTGTACGTGTCCACTACATTTGAACTAAATACAGTAGCATGTAAATCACACGTGAATGTAAAAAAATAATGTCATAGTGAATAATTTGAAAAGTCTGACCATTTAAATGAATGTGACAAAGAATCTACGGCTGCATGTAGAAAACCAATATGTTGTTACTTCATACATGCCCATATACTTATGCCCATGTGCATATATTTGGCTAATAACGGGACACTCAAGAAGCAAAAAAATCACTCAGTTGTTAAGATTTCCATCTCATTTTATGAGAGAAAAATTAGAAACCAGTAAACCATTTTAATAGTCAAAACCATAGTCAAAATATTTCCCAATTCCTTTTTAGAAAACCTAATAAAAACATCACACACTCAACACCACATAGCCTACTTGGTTCACTATATTTCCATTTGCTCTGAAACACAAAACCACGCAAACCATGCTTAATGTATTTAACAAAACCGTCTCATCAGAACTTTATCTTGTAAGCTGCATTAAAATGTGGAAAAATAGAACCTGTTTAATTGCTGATTTGCTTATAAAACTGAAGTGTGTACATTTTCATACATTCATCTGTGCTTTTCTGAACCCTGTGGAAATGTATTTTATAATGGCTGTTATTCGCCAGTTTGAAGTTCACTTTTTAGTTCAGTCTCTGCTGAAGCCAGGTCCTCAGAGTTTCTAAATTCCTCTCCAACCATAGAATATTCTTCTCCACGTTTTCAACAGCCACCTGAGTGACGCGGACCTGAGAGGACTGTTCCCTGATGGAGTCGAAAAAATCCTTGATCTGGAAATACAATGCACATTTCTCAATTGTCTGTAAGTTGTTCTTATAACGGGGTGACAAAGCTTGAAAAGCATCACGTTAGTCATTTTAAAATTAGTAAGATAAAACTCACATTAGCAAGCTCCTCTTTAGATGAGAACTGCCCTGTTGTACCGATGATAATATTTCTCATACTGAATGATCCCAGTTGGAATCTGGAATAAGGAAGAACATGGATTTTATGTGAGCAAGTCTCCTGCTCTGGTGCTCAAGAAAAGATGAACATTACCTCAGAATATTTTCATATTTCAGCAAAGTTAGTTTTGACTGGGTTTTAATCAGCTGCACTTACTTTTCCACCAGTTTGTTCCAGTTCTTTTTCACAAAATTCCAAGCTAGGAAATGGCCTGCTGGATTTCTGGCCACAGTGTAAATTAGTGTAGACAGGTCCTGTGCTCTTATCATTGATCCCTCCATTCCAAGCTCCAACAGTCTAGAGTAAAATACATCAAAGCATGATGGTTACCATCCAGCCTATCTGTATCTAAAAGAAATGCTTCAATATTCAAATGAATAGACTATAAACTGAAGTGCAAGTATTTTGTATTTGTACAGGCAATAAGGGTGTAAAATGTTCTGAAGGTGGCAATTCAACTACCTAAAATTTGGAAGTTCAATTTCAAGCTAGATTATAATCAGTTACACCAACATTAGTTCCTATGTATAATTTTTACAGCCAAAATAAATTCTCAGGCAATTTTCAAACATAAAATTCAGAAAAAAGAAGAATTCTGAATTATATCAAAACAAATGACATTGTGATAAAATCTGAGATTTCATGATGCATTTAATCTTCTCCTAAAGAGTCATGATTTAATCAAATCTTTATGAGAACAGAGAACCCCCAGCAGGCAACTCTATACCTTTGTAGTTTATTGGAATCCTTGCTGCTTGCTAAGGCTGCGAGAATTTTGCATTTCTCTGCCTCAGACATGGAAACCCCATACTTCTCCAACAGGTACTGCCAGCCACTTTCATCCTGGGCTCCAACCATGTAGATGGTCTCAGTCACATCACTCGGTAAACTGTTAAATCCAATTCACAGTCAGCATACCAGTACATGTTCGCTAGAACAATCAGCTAAAATGCACTTTTTTGGTATATCCAAAGTACTAAGGATCGGTAAGCAAAAATTAGTTATGTTGACTGTGCACACTGTGTACTGAAAAAAACTTAAAATCATCTTCTGTCCTGTTCCACTTTTTACAGTTTACTTTCTTTTGTGTAGTTGAGGTGTTTTGCAGTATGTCAAATGACCTGATGGTGCCATTAGACGTCACCCAGGTTTGGTAGAAATGTTTGGCCTTTTCCAGACAGGGAGCATAACCAAGATCACATGCCAGTGACAGAAGTTCAGAACGTAGCCTTCTGTCTGAGTCTGTGCCCTCATTGCTCCACGTCTGCTTGTCTATCACGTCCCTGAAATACTGCAGGATGTAAGTCTGCAAGACAAAGTCACACACACAAGGGGTCACTGTCCACCCACACACAGGCAAGAATATTAAAACACAGTCAGTGAGAAGAAGAGGCCTTAGAGGAATACTTGCATTTCAACATGAAACAAAACTAATTCAAGCCTAGAGATGTGTGGAGGGACCTCAGCTGCTGTGTCTGAAATGAAAGCCTCTTTGATTGAGGTCCAGTGGAATGAGGGATAGCAAATTAGATTGGCTCCAACTTCCTGGGAATGGTTTGCTGAGGGAAGTCTGGCACATTACATTAACTTTGCGTGTGCTGTAGTGCTGCAAGAACACTTGTACTAAATATCTAACCATGGCAGGTCAACTGAGTTGCTCTTTTTCAAGATCAGACGACTGCTTTGTGTGCAACAGCGAAAACAGTCCAGCCTGCTGTACTCTCATGTTGAAGTGTAGGTGCCAACAAAACAAGTAAGAGATCAATTTGATAGAACACATCTGAAATACCTTGAGATTTTGTTTGATATCAGCTATGTTTCTCTTCTCTATCATCTTGTAAAATGATTCTAAATATCCAAGGCCTTGTAAGAGGGGAACATTGTGGGTCTCAGACTTCAAGTAGGTGATCAGATCCAAGGCCCGGTCCAGTGTCAGTCGCCCTGCCCTAGACAGATCAGACAGAAAGGATAAAATAGAAAAAAGAAAGCAATACAGTGGTCATGTTCTACTTAGTGGTTATTGCCTATATTTATATTTATTTACAGTGATACTTGGGCCAAAAATGAAATTTAATTTTCCCATTACTCCAAATGTACATGACCAACCAAGCATGTTTGGCGTCTGAAGTTTGCTTCCTAAGGAGCTACAAGGCGAATGTAATTAACAATTAATGTTCATCAGCCACCAATTAATATCGCACACAAACAGCATGCCTAAATCATTAAAGACTTGACCTAAACTGTGCCAAAATATTAAGAAATCAAATAGGCTTGCTTATGTGTACTATGATACTGTATGACAGTGATGTAACACTCATTTCTGGCAGCCACAGTTCTGCAGATATTGTTTTCCCTTTTCCAAAAATCAAGCAGGGTTTCCATTCAAATGTTTTTTCCGATATTTCCCAAAAGTTGGCATTAGAAAATGTGCATTAATAAGAATTTCAGTCAAATACTCTAATGTGCAAAGATGCTGACACACACTTGCACTGTATGGTGATTTTCACCTGCCACTATTTTTCTTATTGTCAGACTAAGCGAAAACATGACTTTTTGTTTCTACACTCTTAAAAAAAGATGATTCTTCAAAAGTTCTTTAGTAAAGAAAATAGTTCTATATAGATCAACACTTAAAGAACCCTTTGCATGATGAAAAGGTTGTTTGGATCATGAAAGCGTTCTTCAGATTGATGGAGAATGTGCTGTTCTATATAGAGGTTATATAGAACCTTTTTGAAAAGGGTTCTATATAGCACCAAAAGGGTTCTTCTATTGTTACGATGTCAAGCTTGTAATAATAGAAAAACCCTTTTTGGTGCTATATAGAACCCTTTTCAAAAAGGTTCTTTATAGAACTATCTACAGCACATTCTTCATCAATTTGAAGAACTCTTTTATAATGCAGAACCTTTTAATCATGTAAAGAATTCTTTAAGTGTTCATGGTTCTATATAGAACCATTTTCTTTACTAAAGAACCCTTGAAGAACCATCCTTTTTAAATGTGTACATCTTCACTTATTAAATAAATCTGGTTATGTTGCCGTATTTAGCCTTTCTCTTTTTATGATAAACCAACTTTTCCACCTCATCTATGTGTCAAAATATTTTTTTTGTGAAATTTAGCCATTTTTCTCATTCCTGGCTTTTCCATCCAGTATTTTTTTTTCCATTTATCAAATTCACATAAAAGAGGTGGATGAAAAACCCTCTACTGGATTCATGAAGACCTTGCTAATTAGCAAAATTTGTGCATTTTTGTAGATAACAGTACTGTCAGAAACCACGTAAGCAAGTATGTTTGAAATTATTACACTCAACTAGAGTGTGATGATTTCAGCATGTAATTTGCACAGTGGCTATAAGCTTCTATAACTTGTTAGTCACATTAGAATTAGCCCAGGCCAAATGTAAAAGAAGAAAACATCAGATACCAAACCATCATTTTAACGGATTAGTACTGGTAAATGACATCTATTGCATTGTATTTTTAACTTACGTGACTAGCTGGAAGGCGTTGTGAATAAGGTTGGCTCTGTCCTTGAAGCTCACAGCACTGTGGTTTACTTTCAGAAGCTCAATCAGGGCATTCCACCCCTTAGTGTCATAATGAATAATGTAGTAGCCATTCATGTCTGTATTAAACTTCACCCAGTCCACATCTTCGTCCAGCACCAGAACATCTGCGAAGTGGTTAAATAAATGTCACTAAATAGCACAGCTGCTTGACTTTGTGAGTTGAATGATGTCTCATGGCAACTCTGACCTGACTTTGTCTGTAGTATATGCCTCATCTCGTTGTTGGAGTGGCTGGTTTTGTAGGTCAAAGGAATTTGCCACAGGTAGCTGTTGAGAAGATATTTGTAAAGTTAAGATTGTCTGATTACATCAAAGAGCTTCAAAGCACCTTATTACAGTTGAACAAAACAATGACAGCAAAAAAACTACAGAACATTAGAAAGTTTCAAATGCATGTGAGAGAATTAGGTTATTACCCAGCTTGCATTGACTGCCATAGTGGGTCACTTGGCTGGAATGTCCTTAGGAACCGCTCTTGTTCAATGTAAAGCTTTGTTCCCTGGCGCTTCACTGTGACCAGAGGGATGCCCTTCTGTAGAGTCCATGTGTACATCATCTTCTTCAGGTCTATATGCTCCCCAACAAACCGATACTACAGAACAAGCGATTAAACAAGCAGTGAACACTTTAGTTTCTCATTATCCCTGATACATGACATGTTTCTTGCACATGTAGCATTTGTGTAGATAAAATCCAAGCTAGTGTGAGCAGGACAGGGCCTACAGTGAGTGTGGACTGAACCATACAGCATTTTTCGTGGCCTGTGTGTTACTATAGCAGTATTCTCCTGATGTAAAATCCTCTTCAGAGCATGTCTGTGGAACAGAGAAATATGAAATACTTCACATTAGAAACCTGTCGTTACTACTACATTTTATATTCCCAACAATGAGAAAAGGTTAGAGTAATTACATTGACCAGGCTGTCCCACAGATCCTCATTTTTGGCATTCCTGTATCTGAATTTCCTCAGGTACCTGACTATGCCACTTTGGAATACATCATCTGTCAGGAAATGCCTCAGCATGTGCAGAATGCAGGCCCCCTGAGACATACGACAATAGACACACACAAACAAAATTAAGCGTAAACTCTAGAGGCCTGTATGTGGGCCCACTCTCATACAGCTACATATAACTCACATGTTAGTCTTTATAGTACTTACTGAATAATAAGTCTTACGTTTAATAACAGAATAATAAGCCAAGGGACCGAGGAGGTTCGGCAAATTCAGTCCTGCAACTGTAATATTACAAATAAAGCCTTTTTGTGGTCAGAAAAGACAAGTTCTCACCTTGTCATAAGACACAGTGTCAAACATCTCCTTTATCTGAGTTGGGTTTTCTGCAGAACAGGAGATTGCCCTGGAGGAGTTGAGGGAATCCCGTCCCATAGCTGCGAAGCAGGTGTCCAACAAATAGTCCTCCTGAAATTCAAACCACAGATGACAAAAACTGGCAAATATCTTGTCCAACTTAAATATCTGACCTAATTGTGTTAAAAAAGGCTTTAAGAATGGGAACGTACCACTTTTAGTTGTGGGTATGTAGCTTCAACAGACACAAACTCCATATATCGTGCAAAGCCCTCATTAAGCCATATATCATTCCACCACTCCATAGTTACCAGGTTTCCAAACCACTATGGAAGAAGAAACACACATTTAATAACATAAAGGACATCCTAAAGAGCGTGCTCATTCAGTTTACATTAGCACAGCTGTACAGTAGGTATACAGCAATGAGCACTGCAGTTGTAGTCTAATTTTGGCTACTTGACTTTTGTCTCATCCTGGCTTTGAGTCAAGATTCCAAATAGAGCTTTTATCCAACGGGGAAAGAAGCGCTAATGAGTATAAATACATCCCTCACAGTTTTGTACTCATGCTCAAAATGTCATCACCAATGTGGGCATGCATGTACAGTAGACACACACATTCTTGGCCCAATCTAAGCCTTAGACACTGAACCGTTGGGGCTTCCTGGCCTTCCTTCAGCAGAGCACATGTAGAATAAACCAAAACTGCTCAGAGGCGCCATCTAGGCTGCCCATGAAACATTTGGAGATTTAGTATTTGTAGTATACGATTTTCACTGTAACCTTTCAATTAAGATTGACCACTCATGATTTGACAGTTTTCTTTGTTAAACTGTTGTTAAAAGCAGGCACCGGAAATCTTTGCCCCAAATGTGGGATAAACAACTGTGACTGCTGATGAGTGATGGCATCAAATAAGGGAATGCAATGTGTGGGGTATGACATTATTCATAAGATTGTACTTTTGTCAGTTCTTCCTGCTGTTTTGCAGTTGTTGCAAAGAGAAATGGCGATGATATAAGATATAAATAGCATTTTAAAGAAAAAAATTGAAAAGCTTGGGGTTCCCGAACTTCAGATAAACAGCGTATCTTTTTATGGAACAGATCTCAGCTGAACACCTTTAGCAATTCAGACGGTGTGAACAACATGGTCTTACAAGAAGAGAAAACAATGTTTTGACTTGTCAGACCATGCGCAATGCTAACCTGATGGGCCAGCTCATGTCCGATCACCATGGTGACCCACAGTTTGTCTGAGGTGGATGAGACGTCAGGATCATAGAGCAGAGACGTCTCTCTGTAGGTGGTCAGGCCCCAGTTCTCCATAGCTCCAGACTGGAAATCTGGAATGGCTATCAAATCTAAACAAAAACAGAGAAATATGCAATTAATGCAAGCAGTGTTTTTAGCATAGCTTTTAGAAAAATGGATAGCCCGTAGACATTTACCTAGTTTTGGCAAAGGATAGTAGATGTTGAAGTACGTCTCATAAAACTCCAACAGTTTTACCGCAGCTTCAAGAGCGTAGTGGGTTTGGTGCCACTTGTGCGGAACAGCGTAAATTGAAACCTGAGAAAAAAAAATCCTCATTAATAGATCATCACAGAGGTACACACCCATCAATGTATGAAATAGACCAATTAAACATTAACCGTAAGCTCTGTATTTCTATACTATGTCATACACTACTGTTCAAATGTTTGGAATAATTCTAATTATTTTCAATAATATAAAACCAATTCAGCTGCAGATAAGTGTATAAAATGATTCCAATATGTTGGTTCAGTACAACTTCACAGGTTTCAAATTATTATTAGGATGCTATAAATAAAAATGATGAAATTTTGAAAATGAAAATGTGTCTAGGAAATGAAGAGAACCTTAAGAGATTGTGAAATGACCTAGAAAGCTGAGTAACACTAAGAATTAAGTAAACAGTACAATAAAATTAGTATCTAGAATCTCAAAGCATTAAAGTTTCTATTAAGAAATATGTAAACAGATGAAAACCTTTTGTTGACTTTGTTGATATACAATAATATTTAAATATTTTTGCAATTAATTGTAATGTTTATTGTAATTAAATAATAAATGTGCAATTATTTCATTATCTAACTATAGTCATTTGCAAAAATTCTAAGTAAAAATAAGTTATTAATCCTCCACAAGGAACACACTTCTGCACAGTTTAATACATAAATACTGTTTATTTACAGAATTTCAAATGTTATGTTTTATTTTCTCCAATATGTTAAACTCAGCAAATAAATAGAAATTGTTCACTAAAATTAGCAGAAAAATACAATTTTTAAGTTATTCCTATAGAGGATGTGCTAACTTATTTTCACTTAGAAAATCAACAAAACATGTAAATTGACCAATATATACATATGAATGTAATTAAATTATTCTTGTATATAACAAAAATGTTAATAAGGCGAGTGAATGGTAGTGTATAAGGAAACATAAACCAAATAATAAACTAATAAACCAAGTAAACAAAAACAGTTACTCAGACTGACAGACTAGTCGACTTACATCAATTCCTGTCACGGTTCTCCTGCTGACAGACTTGAAGTCACAGACAATAAAGGCTACGAGATAGGTGCTCATCTGCACACTCGCTTCAAACCGATCCTCAAACAGGCCGTTGTCTAACTCCACCGTGTGCTCCTGAATGTGAGAAAACACATCTTAGTTTCAGTGAATTAGCATTTTGCTCTGATTTTAACCCCTGCTGGACAATGTCTGTACAGTTCTGGCTCTGTTTCTTGAAGTACTTCCTGTACGCAGCTGTAGGACATAACAGTTAAAATGCAAATTAAAGTTAATTAATGTATTAAAGGGACATTCCAGTCTAAAACTCAAGTTTATTATGTTATTTGTTGTGTTATGCAGTGGTTTGTAGTGCGGTATTATATCCCTCAGCCTCATCAATTTGACAGAATTTGATTTAACAATATCATGTTTCTCTTTATCTATGTTCTCTCGCTACAATATCCAGCATGTATTACACTAATACATCATATAACCATTGTGAATCCCGGTGGTGTCAACCATCCCTGACTGCTGGCCTAACCGCAGATCTAGAGGCTAATAAATACATCTTCAATGCAAGCTAGCAACATCAGTTTGTTGTCAAAGCTTATTTTTGCTAAAGGAATAATTCAGCCAAAGAATTAGCAAGCTAAAGAAAAAAACAGTCTACCCCCCAAGTATCCACACCGAAGCACTTAAAGTCTTCCAAAATTAACTTCCACCTTTAAGATTCATCAGAAGGGGGTTTTTCTAGCAATTAAACCAAGTAATCTCACTCTAGATACTGCAATACTGCGATAAGTTAGTAAGTACACATGTTTACAATAGACAGTAGAGATGGTCACCATTTTCATTTTGCCCAAATTGCCTGAGCAGTAGCGCTTTACATTGTGTGAATATTGCATAACAACTTGAAACAAACAGAATACACCTGAATAACTTGGAACAAAATCTCTTTACATTTATATTAAAATTCAGAACAGCTTTTGCTTGTCTGATATTTAAGACATGCAACTTTTTTTTTTATGACAGCAACAATATATGTTGGCCATCATTCAAATTAAGATCAATGATCAGGAGATATAAGGTATCGTTATGAAACCAACTATATGTGGACATTATAGTCTTACTATTGGCATATTGGACAGAGCGATGTGTGATGGTCCTCTTCTGATACGGACAGAGTAGTTGGCTTTGAAGATGGGCTCATCAAAACAAGGAAAAGCCAGTCGTGCAGAGGTAGGTTCAAAGTGAGTGGAAGCCAAAACCCTGTGTTCAGTTGAGAATAACACAGTTACAGTTTGTACGGTTATTGCTGTCTTCTAAAAGATGATCAACGATTCTTTTGTTCACAAGAACTTGCATCACTTTTTATACAAACCTGGTTTCTCCTTCTGTCGTCTTGTATGAGCTCTTATAAAAGCCAAAGAAACCATCGCTCAACGCTGCACTAAATTCCAAGTACAGAAAGTACTTTTCTCCAGAGGTCAGAATCTTTGGGGAGAAGATGGCTATCTGTTCGTGGGGAGGATACTCCAGAACAGGCAGTGCTTTGTCAAACAGGTGGGCCTCGCTCTCATCCAGAACAGTCGCCGCAGTGATCTCAAGGTTCTTGCTGTGCAGAACCACCCAGTTGGTGTTGTTCTTCACATCGATCTCAATTTTGACAGAGCCATTGAACCTCAGGGTGGTGAGGTTGGGATGGATTAGCAGATGGTAATGAATGGGAATGATGTAATTTGGTAGGCGCAATTTGCTCCAAGGGAATGGGAGGCCGTTGGTCGCCACATGGATGTTTTCAGTGGCAGTGCTGCTGCTTTCAGAGGGCAGGCATGAACTGGGCAACGTCAGTGAGATTAAGGTCAAAAGTAAAGGAAGAATACTGGAAGATGACATGACTTTGAATGTAATACTGAATTTTTTGGTGAATGGTAGTCGTATTTGCAATGGCAGCTCCTTTCACATTCTTGGCTTGATGTCTTCTAAGAACTTGCAGTCAGTCCAACCTGAAAAAAGACGGAACAAGGTTAAAGGGCCTATACTGCACATTTTAATTGCATTTTATTTTTTCCCCTCTAAGTCTACCTGTAATGTGTAATTTTACATACTAAAAAACAGACAATTTTCCAACATCTCCATATTTTGTAGTATAAAACAGGCTGTTTGTTTGTTCACATATATGTAAACAACCTCTGGTCTAAATGTCAGCTCTGTTTTGTTCCCCGTTTGGGCTAAAATGTGACGTTGGAAAAAATAAACTTAAAGTTAACATGAATTGTGAATCACAATGCATTTTCCGTCCGTATCTTAATGCATTTCCAAATGAAATGTGGCATCAGGGAGGGTCTCCAAGCTAGCTGAGTGTATCTCCCAACGATTGGTGGGAATGAGAGGTGAAATTGGTTAATATTATTTTTCCCCACCTGTGACGTACTTAAACTCAAAAGACGTTCTTGAGACGAGGAAAAGTAACTGCACTGTAACCAAATGCTACAGAAAAAGAGGAATTTTGTCTTTTAAATGATAAAGATGAATAGTGCTTAATAATAACCAGGGACATGAACCCAGTGAAAAATGTCTGTTATTACAGGTTTACTTTAAGCCGGTTTAGATCCATTTGTGACGTATCACATATACGCATTCATAGTTGTGACCATGATGAGTTCAAAATAGCCTATTTTTGCATGCGCAGCAGAGTGAACTGTACAGTTTGAAACTTCAACAGTGTTTATATATTCTATCAATTTACTTACAAATCCAAAAAGCAAAGACAAGCCAGTTTTCCATGAAACGAGTCCTTTAAGTCCTACAAAGGTGTCAGAATTACTGATGTCATGAAACTTTCTAGCCTTTCAGAAGTCTGAACTTTTGACCAGCTCTCCAGCACATTATGTTGCTCTTTACTTACACACTTAAAAAGTGCTACACACTTCAATGTGTCTTTAGTAAAGGCAATGGTTCGATTCACAACCACCTAATGCTTAAATGGTTCTTTGCATGGTAAACTGGTTCTTCAGATTGATGAAGAATGTGTTGTTTATGGTTCTTTATAGAACCTTTCTGAAAATGGTTCTATATAGCACAAAGAGGGCTCTTCTATAGTAACACGAACACAAGCCTTTTTGTTGCTATATGGAACTATTTTAAAAAATGTTCTATCTAGAACCATGTACAACCGTTTCACAACCACGCAAAGAACAATTTAAGTCATGGTTCTAAAGAGAACCGCTGCATTACCTAAACTCTTAAGGAACCATCTTTTAAACTGTGTACTCGTATCAATGAAAACAGAGTGCCGCACAGTGTAACAGCCGAGTAGACGATCCAAAAAGCCCAGCAGGCTAAGTTACAGAGGAACAGTTAGCGCAGCCATGACCGTGTAATGTGACCCACATTCATAGTGGGTGACAAACTCGGAGATACAGTAAGGACAGTCGGTGTCCCCTCAGCACTGGCTTCACATTAGAACCGCCTACGGCAGTTTATAGCACGACTCACGGTCACGTAGAGCTCGAAACGGCGGCTAAAGGCGCAAAAAGACCCCAAATATCCTCTCCGGAGCGAAAGGGATGCGTTAAGTTTACCTGAATTTCAGCTTCATCACTGTGGCGCGAGCGGGCTGGCTTTCATTTTCTCTTTCACGCGCCCGGCCCACAATTCCCCCAGCGGCGCGCGCGGCAGCTGCTGAGCTGCTGAATGTAAAATGGCTCAGAAAGCGGCAGCAGCAGGTAACAGGAGCCCCAGGGACAAATGACTTAGAGCCCACCGAGCTGTGTCCTGTGTGTCCGGACTGGGCTGGGGCACGTTTAAAGACCAGCTTTTGTGGACAGGCTAGCTGCTCGCTCTGCTTTGTCATTTCACTAGTCACATGGGACTGAGAGGAATTGTGTCATGGTGGCTGAAGCGTAGACCTCACAGATCAACAATGGTGGATTTCTCTTTTAGAACAGGGCAGTTTTAACCGCTCACTGTGCATGTTCTTAAAAAGAACTTTTTTCAAATGATGCAGGTACTATGAAAGCCTGTTTCCTGCGCTGAAAAACGCTTAGTAAGTGTTACTAATGACGAAGTTTTTCATAAGTATGATTTAGTATCTCATAATTATGACTTACTATCTCATAATAATGAGATTCCACCTCATAATTATCACCTAGTATCTCAGAATTATGACTTGCTATGTCATAATAATGAGATTCTACCTCATAATTATGACTTAGTGTCTCGAAATTATGACTTACTACCTTATAAGTTTTAATTAGTATTTCATAATGATACCTATCTCATAATTATGACTTATTATCTCATAATTATGACTTACATCTCATAATCATGGCTATATAATAATTATGACTTAGTAGCTCATAATTATGACTTGCTTTCTCATAATAATTAGATTCCACCTCAAAATTATCACTTAGTATCTCAGAATTATGACTTTCTATGTCATAATAATGAGATTCTACCTCATAATTATGACTTACTTTCTCATAATTATTACTTACATCTCATAATCATGGCTATCTAATAATTATGACTTGGTATCTCAAAATTATGACTTAGTATCTCGACATTATGACTTACTGCCTCATAAGTTTTAATTAGTATCTCATAATAATACCTAACTATCTCTTAATCATGACTTACTTACTCATAATTACGATTTTTTTGGTCCGTTTTCATTGTTTTCCTCATTATAGACAGGGTCAAGCTAAATCCTGTTACCAACCAAAAGTAGGCCTGTCACGATCATGACATTTTAGCTGATGATTAATTGTCATGTAAATAAGTGAGAATAATAATTTGGTTGTTTTCGGGGGGTTTTCTTGAAAGACAATTGAGCAGTATTAAAGTGCAAGCCTAAAGTGGCTAAATTGGCTGATTACCTAGCTCAATTAAACATTATTTACCACTGCCCTTTAAAATTACCTATGATGCATCTTCATAAATGTGCTTTCTGCTTTTTCTTCTTTTGTTTATATGACTTTGCCTCAATTCACCCAATTCAACCCACCCAATTCACATGCTGTTTTAACACAACCATATGATTGTAAAAGCTAACAGTTGCAGCCAGCATAAATAATTGCAATCACTGTAAATAATTGTGAAATTTTAAATATGAGAGAATATCTAGATATCTGTGCTACTGAGTCTTATAGACTGTACTATTTTGTGTTGTAGCTTGTATAAAATTAGCTTTCCACAATTGACTAAACATTATATTTTTTGGCAAAATTATAATCTGTTTTACTTATTGGCCACAATATATACAGAAAAGGCTGTTCCTTAAAAGCAGAAGTTAGACTACATTTAAAATGTACACATATGAATACCCAGATGTACAAAAGCCGTTGGGGTGTGTATCATTCTTTGACCACAAACCATCATAAAGCAGGTGTGATCCCACGAAACACAGACCTCAAGAAAAATGGTGGATCACTAATTCACAGTTGTGTCAAACTAATGTATCAGAAAAATGCTTTGACTATGTAGTTTTTAACAAAATATAGCCGATTGAATGGATTGTGTGGACTAATTCCCGTTTTCTTTCTTTCTTTCTTTTTTTTTATTCCAATGGAAAACAAAGCAGCAGGACGTGGATATTGAAGTGGCGTAATGCCCCAAAGGACCTGCAGCCAAAATAAGCCTGTGTGAAGATGGGTGTAGGTATTTCTGTTCTCGAATGGGCTAAGCTCGTGCACATCTTTGCAGAGAGGCCCAGGAGGAAAGAACAACAACCCAGTGGAAAGATTCCATAGCGGGTGTCAAGTCACATGACTGTAAGTTGATAATCCCCTGCGCTGATGGGCAGAGCATAGTGAACAGCCCTGTCAGCATCATGCTCTGCAGCTTCCTCACCATCCTGCTCATTACGAGTAAGTAAGATGAGTTTAGGGATAACCTAGAACATTTTCATCATAATCCAAAAGGTTGAACACAGTAATGCAGTCAAGACCATAATTGAAATGAAATATTGTTTTATGTTTTGTATTTCAAAATATATTCATAGGATGTACTGTAATGTATTTTCAATATATTGGTTTTTCGTGTGGGAGGTTGTCAAAAAGTGTTTGTGAGTTGTTAAATTTTCTTTAAAAATTGTATTTTTTACCATTACTTATTATTTAATATATTTATTTTTGAACTACTTTGAACTGATTATTTGTTGTATTTTTATTCCAATATATTTTTATGTATATTATATTATTATTACCATTTATAGGTTTAATTTTATTGTACAGTTATGAATTTAAAATTTATTTTATTACTTATTTGTTTATTATTTATTTTTATTGTATTATTTAATTATTTTAATTTTTTTATATTTGTTATATTTTATTTCGTGTTATTTTCTCTCATTATAATCATTTCTAAAATTTAAAATAATATATTAAATATATTTATTTTTTAATGTCTATTTGGCAGTGGATATCATAGGCATGGAGGCTGCCCCTTATGCTACACTATCCCCCTTTTTCCACATCCCCTTGGACCCTGGAGGTTTGACCATCCTGGTATGTGTGGTCAATGATGTCCTAAACGGGGATGGAGGGATGTCCTGGCTTTCCAGGAGCACCAGCAGATCAAGGCCTGTTATTTACAACGTACTGGGAGAAGAAGATAGCACAGAGAATGCAGTGTCTGTTCATTCTTTGGTTTCTACTGAATGGGAAACCTACACTTGCTTTGTGAGTCACAGAAGCACCATTCGGTTCATGCACAGAGACTATGGTGGATTCCAAAAGAGGAGAACAGGTAAATCATTAGTCAATTAGGAATTAATTAGGAGGATTCTTGCACCCTTTGCAACTTTCCATGAATGCTGGCTGTTCATAGTTCGTTTTCATTGTTCTGTCCTTTTGCTTTTTAGATTTAGGTGATGAAGAAATGGAGGATCTGTGTTCAGAGCATCAAAGTGACTTCACTAAAGGTCAGTGATGTCTCAGAAGCTTGCATATTGACCTGTTTTAAAAGTAAATTTTACTGATTTTTAAAAAATTCTCCATAGTTCAGTGGTTGAGATGTAGTTCATTCAAAGTATTTTGATATGTAATGGTTCATTGTAGAGAAACCTGGATTACTTTACAGGGGCTGCGATGTCCACATCGCAAATATAGGCATTCTATTTTAAAATTGGTGGAATTCCCGTTTTAATTTGGCACTGAGCATTTTTGTCAGGTTATCCAAGCGTACCACCACAATAAAGCTGCACAATGAACAGCCACTTCATCCACTTTATATACCGACAATAACTGTAAGGGCTCTCCAGTAGTGGCTGGTTTATCATAATGTGTGCTGTGGTGATGTTCAGATCCCAATCCTAAGTGATTTTTGTTCTAGAATCAGGCCTGTGCTAAAGTGACAAGCATGTTTTTATCATTTGTTTCTCCAGATATCCGATTTCACACTGATCTTCTAATCATACAGGCTCTTAGAATTATCCTCCTGAAGATCACCGTTTTCAACGTCTTGATGACGACACATGCCGTCATAAAGTGGTAAATTCTGTATTATATTTATGTCTTGTATAATGTATCATAATACTGTATTATATTATACCGTTTAACAGCTATTCCTCTGTAAAGAAGTCTTAGTAGGTATCCCTTGGGCCTGTAACAATCATGAAATGTTATCTAGGGATTAATTGCCATATAATAATAGTGATTAACTGTTTTAACAATCAAAATGCAAGCCTGAAGTGGCTAATCCTGCATTCTAGCTGTCAATGTTTAGTAGTTCCCAACTGGACACAAACAGCTCGAGCTTAAATAAACAGATGTTGCTCAAGACTTCCCCCTAAAGGTGTCAGCAGTAAGGAGTAAGAACAACTGTTGTTTTTGTAAGACCCAAGATGTGTCTGAATAAATGCATTTTCTGCTTTCTGTTATTTATATGCTCATAATCTCAGTCCAATTTATGAAAATGCACGCAGTTCACATTCTATTATTATAATGTGAACAGAGTATGAAAGCTAACAACTGTGGAAATCTATAATAATTGTATAATTGAATAATAATCTTATTTATTGTGCCCTTTTCATGCATGTAGTAGTTCAGAGGGCTTTACAGACAGGCAGTAAAGTTTAACAATAATAGTAAACATTTGAGCTTGAGATTACTGTCCAGTAACTATAATACACACTTACCCAGCACTTTAGTTGAAACACTTGTACACCTTTTCATTCAAGCAACAATTAAATCAGTAAATCATGTGGCAGCAGGGCATAAAATCATGAAGATACAGGCCAGCAGCTTCAGATAATGTTCACATCAACCATCATAATGGGAAAAAACATGATCTCAATAATTTTGACTGTGGCATGATTGTTGGTGCCAGACAAGCTTGTTTGAAAATTCAATAACTGCAGATGTCCTGGGATTTTCATGCACAACAGTCTCTGAGTTTACTCAGAATGGTGCAATAAAAAAAAAAAACATCCAGTTAGCTGCAGTTATGCAAACCGAAATGGCTTGCTGATGACAGGTCAATAGAGGATGGCCAGACTGGTTCGAGCTGACAAAAAGGCCACGGTGAATCAGATAACCACTTTGTACAATTGTGCTGAGCAGAAAAGCATCTCAGAATGCACAACACATTGAACCTTGATGTGGATGGTCTACAACAGCAGAAGACCACATTGGGTTCCACTTTTGTCAGCCGAGAACAGAATACTGATGCTGCAGTGGGCACAGGCATACCAAAACTGGACAGTTGGAGACTAAAAACAGAGCCTGGTCTGATGAATCTCTGGGTCAGAATTTGGCCCCCAACAGCATGAATCCATGGACTCAACCTGCCTGGTGTCAACGGTCCAGGCTATTGGAGGTGGTGTAATGGCCTGGGAAGTGTTTTCTTGGCACATTTTGAGAACCTTAATACCAATCATTCATCGCCTGAGTGCCAAAACCTGTTTGAGTATTGTTGCTGACCATGTGCATCCCTTCGTGACCACAATTTACCCATCTTCTAATAGCTGCTTCCAGCTAGAATGCACCAATGTCACAAAGCAAAAGTTGTCTCAAACCAGTTTCATGAACATGACCATATGTTCAGCGTTCTTCAGTGGCCTTCCCAGTCACCGGATCAAAATCCAATGGAACACTTTGGGATTTTTTGAAAGTGCACCTGAATAAATCTGCAGGAATTACATGATGCAGTCATGTTAGCATGGACCAGAATCTTAAAGGAATGTTTCCAACATCTTGTGGAATCCATACCATGAAGATCTGAGGCTATTTTGAGAGCAAATTACCCTGTATTAGAATAGTGTTCCTAATGAAGTCCTTGATCAGTGTATGGGGAAATGAATAAATAAAATTTTCCTCAGAGTTTCAGTAACAAGGATTAATATATCAGTTTTTTCTTGTAGAAAAATTTGTCACATACAACTTGTAAACCTGTCAATGGAGCTTTGATTTTCAGAAGCAATGGAAATTGCATGTCAACAGCATTACTATGAAAAATGGTATCATGTTTCCTGATAAAATGACCTAGAGGCAAGGTGAGAAATACACTTAGGGGTCCTAGGGTGTCCTGCTTTACCCTCAATCAGCAAGCTTATCTCTTTGGTATTCTTATCTAACTAGAGATGCAGCACTGGTCTGCCTCAGGGTAGCACTATAGCAAATTGGTTCACCCAGTTGGTCTTTTATAGCATAGCAACTGTAACTATGCCCAGGATATCTCTGAAAAACCTTTTGCTGCAGCACATTTGTAAATCTGAAAGGTTGCCCAATTTCCAAAGAGTTTGGAGGAAAGAATGAATTGTTACTTATTTCTCAAACTGAAGATCTCAGTGCATGTGGGGAAGACCACATTACCAAACTAGAAAAGAGCATTTCCAAAAGAGGAATTATTAAACCAAACATTTTACTGTCATTGAAGCTAGCATCAGTGCTGTAAGTCAGCTGCCTGCCAACTCTGGAGTAGCCAGCCAACATGGGACCCCCCGAATACCAGACACACTGTCTAGAGGTAACATACAAGGAGGAAAGCAAAGGCCCTATGACTGAACCTTGTGAGACTCCGCTAGAAATGTAATTTTCTAGTGAAAGAATTATTCTTTCAATATGATTTAACTCATTCTAAAACCATGCCTTGTTTAGATGATCATGTAATAAGTATTATTAGCCTAGTATCTCTTATACCAGTGGTTCACAAGTCTGGTCATGGCGTACCCACTGCCCTGCACATTGCAGTGTTTTTCTTGCTTTCCTCACTAATAGCAATTTTATCTTTTCTCTGTCAGAATGTCATGCAGTGATGATAACCTGGATGAAATTATGTTCAAATATGGACAACAGATGACCCAACTCACTTGGATGTAGCCTGCTCCTGGCAAAATACACCCTCGAGTCTTGAGGGAGTGATGAAACAGAACTGAATGAGTGTTTTGAATGTTGGGGTCTGCCTCATGTTTTATGATCAGATAATGGCACAGGTGCTGTATTGTGTGGTGTTAGAACATGAAGATATCTGATCACAAACTAACCTCAAAACTCTGAAGAACACAACAGGTGAACTGCACTACAGACAGCTTTGCACTGTTCCTTCTTCACTAATGGGTGCTTACTTTCTCTTCTCATCACTCTGTTCAGTCTTGTCTCCCTCGAAAGGGGAATCTTGAAGAACATTTTTCATAGTGCTTAAGTGGAATTTAATTTTTTTTCACAGTTTTTGGATAATTCGATCGTTGAGGTGTAGAATGACAAGTCATTCATAATGATTGGATGTGAACTTGTACGCAGGTTCTGTGCTGGTACATTTTTCATTCATCAGTAAACAATGTAAATGTACCCTTAAAGGTACAACAGTGGTTTTAAGGTCCGGTTGTGTACCCTAAACAAGTTTTTCCAGGTGAAAAGTACAGCTTAGAAAACATAATTTCAATGGATTATGATACAATTATGTTCCCTGACTAAAGGTACTGAGATGTACCCTTGAGGGTGCCACCCCAGTGACAAGATGGGAACTGCCCCAGTGATAGTTTCATATCTTTATTTCTGAGAGTGTACAGAAACTTTTTTACAGTGGTGGTGATTGGAACCAGGGATCGCAATGTTTATAACACAAAACAGTGTCTCGTACGTCAGGCAGTATATTCATAACTAATGTAATGTAATAACTGTGAGATAGATTTTAAAGGCATTAAATACTTCAGACATCTGGTTCCTATCAAAACCATTGTGACCAGTTCTGATTCTGTATGTTTCTCATTTCACATCAAACCACTCTGAATGACTTTGTGTACATATTAAATATTTAATTATGAAGGCACTTTGAAAAGTCAGTGAACTCCTCTTTAAGAGTGTGAGAGAGATTTGTGCCAAGGCTTCTGAGCATGTCTGATTTGATGTCACAGCAACACTCACAATATAAATCTGCAGACTTCTGGATATGAATGTGTACGCTTTGTATTTGAAAAACACAACGATACAGTGTCTGTAAGTTGTTAAACTGTCAATACAGAGACACGTTAATAATAAGTGACATTATCTGATGAACAGTAACCAACAAAAGTCAACAACATTTATGTATTTTCATTTAATGTTTTAAATAAAACACATTTTTTTCCTTTTTTCCTTGTTTTTAAGTCACCGCATCCAGTACAATACTAAAACACTGATGTAACAATGGTGGTCCACTAGGTGGCAGTACAATCACATCTGAAACTTTTTTTTCTGAACAGCAAGAATATGGAGCTTAACTTCTCTAACAAGACACTATATTTCATAAATAATTTAAGTATAAACATTGAGCAGTCACTCTTCACAAAAACAGAATTCACTCACGAAAAAAAAATCACAAAATCAAACGCAACAAAGCAAAAACACAGGATGAAGGCTTACCTTTGCAGTTAATTGCACTCAGATGCCTTGCTCTGGTCTTTAAATATTCCATTATATAATGAAATAAAGCCCATCTGATATTTGGCCAATCGATACAGGCCATCTAAGGATTCGGCCAATCAATACAGACCATCTAGGATTTGGCCACTCACCGCTCCCAGTGTTCCAAATACAATCTATTACACTTGTCACAGTATGGTAGCAGCTCTTCGGCACTGGCAGTAGTTGCAAATAAACGTACAAACATGAGTCTACAGTAGCAAGTCTTTAAAAAAAGGAATATGGTACAAAGGAAGATTTTAGGTGGGGAGTGTTTCTATGGGCTTCCATTGTGGATGCACCGTAAGGCAATCACCATAAAGTATGAGATTTTACATCGCTGGCATAATCAGTTCATTGCAAACTCAAAGCACAGTGAGCTTTTTCTTTAGGGAAACAGCATGTTTTGGGAATATTTCTTCAAAATCAATTGGATATTTGGAAGTTCTCCAAATAAACGTACTTCAAACGGTTTGTGGATGTGGAAAGTCCTTAAAGATGCTCTTTAAGACACCCATAAGCATTCTCTGAGGAGAAAAACATTGTCAAACACATTTTTGCATTTCTTACCATGAATCCTGGCATAAAAATGGTCTAATTGGTTGTGTTTATGCAGGGCATTGGCTCACAAAACCTAGAATAGTGCCATGAGCTTCATGTGCTAATTAGGAAATACCTTGTATGTGTGTCCTGAAACAGTGGCCCACACTGATTTTTGGCAAAACAAAAGTCATATGGAATATCATTCATAAGGAAAGATAATGCACCAAACGGCAATGCTGACCATCTCTGGTATAACAACAGTGTACATACCTAATAGATGTATATTTTTGCTCGCACCAGCTGCACGCTGTAATAGCAAAAGAATGCACAAGATCTTTGGTTGGAGGGAAACAAGAAAGTCGTACTGAACAGGAGATAACTGACGGTGGAACTTGTTTGGCAACGGAGCTAAACTAAAGAAAAGTTAGTACATTAGTAGTGAGCCAAAAGTCAAAGAGAGAGCTGATCACAGGAAGCAAGGCATGGCTCACTTTAGCAAAGGAGAAATCACTACTTTCCAGTTTCCTCAGTGAATATAGTGCTGGACCTTGCTCTGGAGAGGAAAATCTTAATCAAATCACGTTGCTTTGCCATCTTTATGCTATCCATGACTGGTAAATGTCTGTGCTGGGTAAAGAAAAGATTCTGATTGTCGCTGATGAAATGCAGGACCAGAATTATTAATGCAAATGAAATTTGCCCTGCTGGATGGGCAACAAGCCACTGAACACCAGTGAAGTCCCTGTTTTACGCCATTGAGGTTTAGGTTTACTTCAGCCGTGTTTGCTTGAATTCTTCATATCTTTTTGTTTTAAATCTACACTGAGACAAAGACGATACTGAGTTCTAGACTACAAAACGAGGAAAGATGTACAGACAGATACTGTGACTGTCACAATTCTTTCTGAACCTTCGAACGTCAAACCACATTACTAGGGAGACTGCGCCCTTCAAAAAAGCTACTGTCACATGGTTGTGTGGAGTTAAATGGTGAGGTAAGTCCTATCTATGTACAGAGATGTGAAGAATTTCACCGAAAAACAAACCAAAACAAAAAGCGCTTGTGGGTACCGAGAAAAGCTCTGGTTCTATGGAACACTGTTCTGTAGTTACGTAGCAACATAAAAAATAAAGTGCTTCTGTTAAGACTTCCTCTCCTGAGGACGACGACAAAACAAGGTCACAAAAATTCACACACGTAAAAAAAAGACGTCCAAACCCCGCCCCCTTCCCGCCCCACCCCTGCAAATGGCATGTACACAAAATTTACAGTCATAGAAAGGTACGTCTCCAGCCTCCTCCGCAGGCGTTTACACAGTATATACAAGCAACGTTATGATTGTTTTCAGTGTCTTTCCACTTTTTCTCATGTTTTTGCCTTTATGATTACAAAAGTACAGCCATGAGTAAGCAAAGCAGAAGTGCGCTTATGGCCGCTGAGGAACTTTTCTGGGCTCCTGAGCGTGAGAAAATGTGCCAGTGCTCCCTCTTGGGGTGCAGCATCTCCACGTCCTTCAGCGCGTTGTAGGCGGCTGAGGTAAAGTTAGCGTCCCCGGTGGTCAGGAGGTCAAAAACGCAGGAGTGGAAGTAAATGTCCTTGACCTCCAGCTGCTCCCTGCACTTGCTGGAGGCACTCTCTAGGCTGAAGGTGGACCCCCGCTGGGCTGTCGCTGTCCCTGGCCTGACTTGTTGTTGCTGCTGCTGGAGGCCCAGCACGGGCAGCTGCAGACGGCCCTCCTGGTCGATACGCTCTGAGCTGGGGCAGCCGTTCATGCACAGCTGCAGGTCCTGTGTCTCATCGAAAGCCATGGCCAGCTCCTCAGGCATGCGCACAGCGAGCGTCAGGTAGCGGCCCAGCTGCCTCACCACCACTGTCACACCAATGTAGGCAGCGTGCAGCTCTACGTGATGGCCTGGAGACTTTTCTACCACCAGCAAGCTGCGCATCTCGCTGGAGCCACCCATCACAGTGCCGTCCACGAAGGCCGCCGGCAGGTCATCTGTCACCGCCTGGTACACCTTCTGGTCCGTGCACTCCTGGTACGGTTTGAAAATTATTGTTATCTGAAAACACAAAACAGAGAGTGATGAGTTTCATTTGGTTTTGTGTTTTTTTCTACACAATTTGAATGAAGCACACAATCATACTTTTGGTAAGTTTTCTATATGAAGGCAATGTTTTAAATAAGTACAGGCTATTTTTAGCAGCATGTCAGAAGGTGTTGCAGCTGCAGTACAAGAGGGAAATGCACACTAGAGTCTACGAAGGCAGCTTATAAGTGCAATACCTCAGTATATTTCAGCTAACTTTGCTGAACTTTGATAAATATTTTGTAATCTTAAGTGACCACTCTTTCTAGCAGCCAAAGCAGTGTTGGCTCAGTTGTTAGCGACAGTCAACCTTAGGGATTTCCCAACTTAAGTCCAACCTTTCAAGTCTGGATTTGACGCTGGCTGATTCAAGTCCAACCTTTAAATCCTTTTTGAGACCTTCTGGCTTGAGGTGTTATGACTATATTCCAATGTATCTCAGTACAAATGATGTGCTTTCTAGCAGTTCAGGTTATATATTAATTTTTTAACTGCTACCACCTTCAGTGGTATAAGATAAAGACAGACTTGCACAAACTGGCAGATTGACTGACTAAAACGTTAATTAATTCTACAGAAAATGTAGATTCTTACTGAAGCTGTGGTGCTAAATGACTCACAGTAGTTCAGTAGGCATGGCCATGCCTGTGCAATGCTGATATAACCACGCCCCCAACACTGAAACAGTGCAACAGAACTCTGGGAGATGTAGGAATCAAGTGTTACACCACAAAATGTCAGGTTTTGATATTTGTGTCTATATAGTGTGAACAAACGAGGCTATGATACCTCATTCCTGGCTCTTTCCTATAGCTTTATATCATTTGACAGATGTAATCAACCAGTATCAAAGCTCCATTATAGATTTACTGGTATCAATTACGTCTCTTCATCTCTTATTTGGATCATTCTACTGAAAACACAGTTACGACTTTTAACTGACATGGAATTTAGACTAAAATCATTTTGCTTAGAGTAACCCTATAATTTAATTATGTTTATTTTACTAAAATAAATGATTTAACATTTCATTTTGTCACAACAATCACAACATTACTGAAACTTTACCAAATGTTTCTGTAGTGATTGTTTGAGTTGTGAAAATTTTAGCTGATTTTGAGCAGAACTGAAAAACGCTGGCCAGTACATAACTGGCAAACACAGCTTTGAACAGCTGTACACACATAAAATCATCATATTTTTCATTGGAATACAAAAAAGTTAACTTAAATGCAGACATATGTGTTTCAGTAGTGACAATTCTGATTTTTAGACTTTGGGACACTTTTACTTCAAAACAATGGGTGTACCTGCCCACCATGTAGACAGGGATGCAGTCTTACTTCCTGCTCTAAAATAAGGGGGTGTGGTTAAAATAAGGCTCTGCCTATGGGCTAAAACTTGAAAACATGGCCACGAAAAAGTGGGACAGCAATTTTATTTTTTTTATTTAAAACTTAAACTCCTTTTAAATTTACATTAATCAGCTTATTTTAAAAAGAAATAAAAAAGATCTTTTTGAAAACAACATTGACAAAAACTGCAAAAAAAAACACAAGTCGAAATGTATGGGTTAGGGTTTGAGACAGACATCTCTCAACAGAAAGTACCCTATAAATTATAATTCTGTATATATTTAGCTTTTTTATTATAATGCTTAGGGTTTAAATAGATCATTGCATAATCATAGCAAATATTTAAGGTTGAATAATTGTTCTCTGTTTTTTTTATTGTGGGATCATGGTAGAATAGTCCATATAAGAAATCATTTTCAAAAATGTAATGCTATTTTGAACAAAAAATAAAACTGTCAACAAATGACACAAACAGGGAATTCCTGTTTTAGAGTACAGACTTGTGAGTTCATGTTACTTTTACCTGTCTTAATGTTAGGTTATAAGGTTATTTATAAGTGGCCTGATTTATATTAATATTATTTAAGTCTTTGTGCATTTGCAAAAAATGTGATCTGACATAATAGTATTTGACAATTTACCACCATATCAGCCAGCAAAGCACTGTTAAACTAAAACTGCCTGAATTTTTATTTTTTCAGTATTAAAAAATGTCATATCAGTAGGACCCTCACAATTATAGATCATGAAGAACATACTGATAGTTTTGTTTTGGGATGTTTTAACTTAAGTATGCTTAAAAATGTAACATTAAATCTACTTGCTATTTCAGTTGTGCCGGAACTCTGGCTGCTGAGTAGTGCACTTGTATGTGTGGTCTACTAAACCCACAAACATACTGTACAGGTTTAAAAGCATGTCGTTCCACAACACTGAAAAGGAGGGGAAGGCCTGCTGACTAACAAGATGTGTGGCGTTACATTAGTGAAGGATGAATGCAAGCTTTGTTCACATGACATGGATGAAAAATGACCACTAGCTGGCCATTAGGTGAGGCAGCTGAAAGGGCCTCAGTTGAGCAGTGTGTGCTAATAATTACGGGCAAACAGTTAATAATGCGCCCCCACCTCCAAAGTCACAAGGTCACAAATGAGAGGTAGTTAGCATTAGCCTAGTCCAACTGAGTGCTAGCCTCTTCAATCAGCCTAAACTTTTGTAATTTGAAGAAAAACAGACAAACAACAACATCTGTCTGTGAAATATCTGAAACCTTTCACCTCTTTTTGAACAAATCTTTACTGTTGCTTAAAGGTAGAATGGCTTTTAGCATGTAGCAGCTGCAGCTGTGTCCCGTGCATGGCAGAGGGAGCAAGAGAGAAGAGAGAGAGAGAGAGAGAGAGAGTGAGAGAGAGAGAGAGAGAGAGAGAGAGAGAGAGAGGTCTTACAGCCGTGCAGTTGGAAAAATAGAGACAGAGCCTTCTTTCAAGGCTACCTTATTAAGGATTGCGCCACAGCCCAGGCTACATCCATTCATTAACAACATTAGACTTTCACGGACACGTTAGTCACAAGTGTTAGTCACAAGACCTGCGTTCTGCTTTGTCCAACTAACACCTATGAATACTTGGTCAAAGTTGAAATAGCCATCTGTGCATCCGGCTGATAAGCTTTCTTTGACACTCTTAATTAAAACAAGTTAATCAATTCTGACACATATATGGTGCTGTGATTAAAGAACTGCGACATTTTAAAAAAGGAAAAACTGGTAAGTGCTGATGGTTTCAATAAACTGACCCCTGTTTACTACATGCATGATGCTGTAAAGCTAAGACCAAGACTAATAACATCTGCAGTGAGATTAAATTGTGATAATGACCTACAGCACTGTGTACAAGTCACCCTTCATATATTTCATTTCCAGTCGAAATGGCCATTAAGTTGGCTACAAGTTATTCATTTTTCAGCACCAGGAAAATAGTAGAAAACAAAAAAAATGCACAGAAGCCTCAACAACTACTGAGTGTGTCCACCTTTTGCCTCTGTTACACCTTACATTCTTTTTGGGAGATTTGCTTTCAAATTCTCAAGAAATCTGCAGAAATCTTTAAAGTTCAGTCTTTAAATTTCAGACATTGGTTGTATTTTCTGCTTCTCATGATCCAAATAATCTCAAATAATACAAATTTAGACTCATCCATCCATAAAACGCCACATCTCAGATGAACAATTTCGGTGTTCTAGTGCAAACGTTCTTCCTTTTCTCTATTTCCTTTTTCTAAGTAATGGCTTCTTGGCAGTTACACATCCTTTCAGACTCAAAGTGTTGAGTTGTCTTCTCACAAGACACACCTGCAGATTTTTTCAGACCTGAAGCAAGAGTGGAGTTTTTTTTTGTCTTTCTTTTGTGCTCTCTCTCTCTCAAAGATGAAAGCTTTAAGCACTGACAGTTTTGGTGGTCTACCAGGTTGTCTGGGGTTTCATTATCTCTCAATCTTTAAAATAATTTTGAACTCCAGTTTTGGAGACTCCTGTTTTTTCACCTATGCAGGGGGATTATCTGTCCTCAGAAATATCTCATAAAAAATGAACTGAATAAATTAAGAGTGCTCTCAGACCTTTTGACAGTACTGTATATATTCAAAGTTCTATAGAAATATCTTTTTTCCACAGATATACTTCGTCTCAAAAAGTAACTGAAAAAGCAACGTGCCTCCATTACAAATAAGATCTGCTAAGTGATTTCAAGCTTTCAGTTTTAGCATTTTGGGCGAAGATTTCCTTTAAAAGAAGAAGCAAAAAAAGCACAAAACTAACAACTATGGGTGTAGAAATGCATCAGTGCATCATTATCTGAAGGTGGCGATTCAATATTTTGGCTAAAATTAAATTCTTGGCAATTTAATGCTAAAATGCTCCTAAAATCCTGGTGTACTTTACTGACTGTCTGTAATCCATGACTGTGTAAATAGTTCCTCTAGTCACATTTGTGTATTCAGTGTATTTTAAATTATAATTGTGAGCCATGACAAAATAATCAAATCGAACTGTGGCTAAATTTGAAATTTCCTAAAGAACTTAAATCACTGAGAGGTCACAGATTCACACCCTTCATAACAACTCACCTTATTAGTCGCTGTGGCACTCGAACCCAGCACCACCGGCACATTTGTCACCTGCACTGACAGGTAATTGTTATCAATAAGGGGCCACGCCCCCTCCACCTTACAGGTCTGAAACTGGTCCTTAAACGTTCTGAGATGCGGGTCCCCGAACAGGCCGCAGAAAAGGTAGTTGGGGCGTGGGAGTTCCGCCCCCGTCCCAGGCAGGGTGGCCTGGTGCTGGTGGCGGCTATGGTAGTTGCAAGGCTCGATGGGGGCCGCGGGGTGGGTGGAGGACGTGGGGCCGTCCTTGGAGCAATTCCTCTGGCTCATGAGGTCACTGATGCCCAGCAAGGCTGAGTGGAAGACCAGGTTGCCCCTGCAGCTCTTGGATGTGCGGTGGGTGCAGCCTGAGTAGGCCCGCAGAGCCTTGCAGAACTCAGCATCGAAGCCATCCAGAGAGGGGTTCAGGTGTGAGGTGAGTGAGACGAAGTCTGTGGTGCACTTCTGGATCCGACACTGCGGGGTCTGCACCTGGCTCTCCCCTGTACAGCAAGGCAAAAGGAAAGGGACATTTTAATGATCATCTAGGGAGAAGTGTGTCATGGGCTAATCGAGATCTACACTGCCCTGTTTACACAGAGAGAGAGAAAAATACACAAGTCATTTAATGGTCACTGTGAAGTTACTCACAGCACATACTTTATACATGTATACTGTGTGACCTCAAGGGCAAGATTAACCAACTTAAAAAGAAAACAGGCTCCCTGGGGCTTTAAGGCTCTACAAATTCATTGGCATCAGCAGAAATTCGATGAATTCGATCAATATGATGAATTGGTTGGGTCCTAATACAGAGGCCAACTTGCAATACCAGTGCTGAACGATACTTGGTTTTGACAGAATGAATGATTGACTCATTTCTTTATTTGAAAGCTTAAAGTACAAACCATCAAAGAGATATCCTGAGGCTTACGGGCAATAAGGAAAATGATCATAGCTATCCTAAGAAACCCTGTTATCACCTCTACAACTTTTCAGGAGTGATTATGATTGAATGAATGATTCACTGACTGATTTATTTTATTTGACAGCTTAAAATACAACCTACACAGGAATAGCATACTAACAGAACAACACATTCAGTTGAACTAACCTTCTAACCACTGCGGTCAAAATTAATGACCTAAAAAGGTGTGGCGTAATGTTTAAAAAGGCATCTGTAATTTACAAACATACTGTCAGCTCTCATTGATAGAAAACACAGAGAGAGTATGTAGTGGAGCTTCAGCTTTTCATTCACACGACAAGGCTTAAAAAACATTCAAATTACAGTTTGTGCCGTGGAATTAAGCAGCGCATCTGATTTTGTGTAATAAGACATAATTATGTCATTACTATCTGGTCCGTTTTTGTTGGCTTGCAAATGACTTTTAATGCAGTGTGAAATTAAAGACACTATGATTAGAACAATAGCAAAAGAAAAGTTATAAAACATTATCCTTTATGCTGTGCATGTGTGTGAGGTGTGGGAATATATTTCCCTATATGCCCTGAATCAGTCCAAACTGGAATTTCCTAAGCAAGGGTGTGTCTTGTGTAAGCGTTTCTTCAAGGTCAGACTCCGTGTGTTGTTTTACACCGAGACGCAAAAAGGTAGAAAGAGCCGACTCAAAAAGAGTGTGTAAAATCTCCTGTTATCAGTGGAGGAGCTCGTTTATTGCGCCAATAAGATCAAATAAATCGGCACCTCAAAGAGAGAAAACAGTAGAGGCATTTGTACTGTAAAGGCGGTAAAGGCCGGATTAGCACCCTTCGCCTGGAACTACAAAAGAGTCACTCATCATAGAGTCAACTTTAGCCACTTACTCTAGGCTAATATTCAACTAAATTCACTTCAAATGGAGCTTAAATGTTTACGTTAATCCACTTTTGGCCGCAGGCCGAAGGCCACTTGTGGGTTTTTTCCGGTTTCTTTGGCCATCTGAAAGTCCAAATGCTCTCTGCACTAGTAAAAAGCCTTCTCCACACCAAGTCACGATGGTTTTTGTTTGTTTAAAAACGGTAAGAGGCTCTGTTTCATTATTGATTTCACACACAGAGCACTTCACTCCATTATCAAGCAATGACATAGCACAAAATAAAACGCCTGAGAGCGAGAGAGAGAGGGTGAGAGAGAGTGAAAGTGAGAGAGAAGAACACTCCTACACCATTAGTTGTGACTTGCTCAAGTGTGGTCCGACTGCATTACCTCAGAGAGAGTGAGTGAGCAATAGAGAGAGTAAAAGAGTGAGCGTCAAAGAATAAGCGAGCGAGAGAGAGCGAACGCGAGTGAGAGTGCGCGAGAGAGGCCTCTCATAATCTGATATGAGCTGCAGCCTCTCCATTAACACGCCTGTAATGACTCAATCTTCCACAGTAAGGGCCTCCCACTGCAGCCCGCGCTGCCAAGAGCTCCCAACCACAGCCCATTCAAATGCATCTGATTTGATTATCAGATGATGGCGTACTGCAGGCAGCGGCAGCGGAAGATCAGCCCACCGTGGCCTGCTGCAGCCAGCGGAGGAGGCATGACGAAGCACGGCCAGATTGGGTTTCACTAACAAGCTGTAAAACAATATGGAGGCCCAGCTGAAGCCATGTTGTGGTACAAAAGGCAAGGCTTTGAAAACGGCAGGAGAAAGGCCTTAATGAACCCGCACTCACTCAGACGTGGTGGGCTTCAGCAGTTCTGCTGCACTGCGAAGGTGCTGTTGTTAACTCAAACACACTTTAATCACTTCAACTACAGGCTTGTTATTCAGTTATTCATCTTAAAATTCAGTGTCTACAATAAATATAACTGTTACTCAGTAACAGTTACTACTTTACTTTAACACCCATTAATATTCAGATGCATGTAAATCTACTCTATGAATATTCATAGATAACTCATTAGAAACACAGGCAAAATACTATAGGTAGCACTTTTTTAAAAGGCACCTACATAGGGATAATGCACATGCATAAGCATTGAAATAAATGACATTGCATTGAAATCAGGGGCCTTAAAGTGGCAGTCATTTGTTCAATCTGTATCACTGTTATAAAGCATTACTCCCAATAAAGGGGTCACTACAGTTTTCATTTGATTTTGGTGTACACTTTCTGTTAAGCAGACATTTCTGCAGCTGCACAAGTCTCTTAAATAGACACTGCACTTCTGTGCTTACTCTCAAGCAGAAATGTGTAGAACTGATTTGTTGTACCTACGTCTCTGTCTTAAGCTCCATTACTTGGGAATGATGCTTCACAACAGTGTTACAATTGGAAGAAATATCTGTCATTTAAGGTCCTTCATGTCAATGTAATGTAATTTACTTCATATAAAATCTTGATATATTGTGATTACCAGAACAGACCTCTTATAAATACTCCAGTACTGCTTTATAAACACATTATTCAGCCTTAATGTGTGTGTTATGAAGTCTCTATATAGGCTGCCTGCAAATAAAGTGTGACCAAATATGAGTATTGAGATTATATTGCTACTTATTGTGACAGCAATCTACCTTAATGCATTAAAATGTACTGGTGAATCAATAATGTAACATGGCCTGCATTATCTTGATCGAAATTATTATTTTTGTCGGATTACAAGACTCTTCATTCATTAAAAAACTAACAGAGAGGCTCATGTGGAACTGTGATCGGTCAAGCCTTTTGTGACATCAGTACTGCAAAAACCAGTATCACGATAACGATTACTGATATACTGCGCAGCCCTTCTTAAATCTTTAATTTAATGACTGAAGACATGAATCTATGAATGACTTGAAGAAGGTAGCTGAGCAAAGGCTCTAAAATGACAAAGGGGCCGGCTGCAGATGTAACCACATTAAGTAGGCATGCCCCGCGTCTCACCCACGAACAGAGAGGCTTTTCATGGAGGCCCCGCGTGACCTTGTCACCCACCAAACTCATGCGCCTCCAGCGCTTCACCCGGCTGCATGTGTGGGATGGTGGCAAAGATGCTGCCCTCCAAAGCCTATCTGAAAGCACATTTGCAGAAGAAATGGAGGAGAAACTCCATTAAACGATATGAGATATACATCACGATGTTAAGTTTATGAACAAATTGGAATGAATAAAATCCACCGGAACAGCAGCGCTACGCTAGCTGTGTTAACAGTAGCAAAGCAATTACAGTTACTGTATGCTGGTTGTTGTATACAAGCTCTCTATTTTATGTCTCAGTCTCTTTTACAGTACATTCAGATGTACAGTTCTCCTGACCTGATGATGATACCTATGATGTCCTCCGAAAAGCTCACTGTGATGTAAATTTATCGCAAAAATCAAGGATAAGGATATAAAGGATATACAGACATGGGAATTCTGGGTTGCTGGTAATAGTCGATATTTTTGGGGTGTACGTTTGCCAATTCCAATGGTGATACATAGACATTTTTTAGATGTAGAAATTGGGACTTAATTAGCTCTACATAGAAATGCAACATTTATTTCTATAGGGTTACAGATGCAGAAAAATGAATAAAATGCAAGCATTTAGCTCGGTATTCCAGCAGGGCGATATGGCAAAAATATAATATCACAACACTTCAAGAAATTTTTATAATGTTACATAACGTTAAGGTATTAATTTTTCTACCATATGATACAGACAAAGTACATTTAAAAATGACTGTATTCAACATTACACATACTGTGATGCACTAAATCTATAAAACAAGTCTAATTATGCTCTCTTTGTAATCAAATATGTAGTTATGAAGTGCTTTGAAATACTGACTACATTCATGCTATACTCAATCAAGCATATTGTGACATACTGTGGTAGAACTTATCATGATAACGATAAATATCGTCATATTGCCCAGCCCTAGATTGAAATATCGGCCATCTGTCTGATGCCAATATTTTATTTTCAAGCAAATATCTGCAAATACCAATATGATTCCAATATCATTGTGCATTCCAACAAAAAGATAAAAACATATGGCATATACTGCCCACCTCTAATCAGCAAAGACAAGGTGTTTTTTTCGCAGGACGGGTGTCAGTGCAGCCCTGGTGTACGATCAGAGCAAACTGCGAGGCCTTTATCTGAGATCCGTTTTAATCCAATTCACAGCAGTCATGGACACAAGCTGTTTTTCACGGCTAGGTAGCTGAAACACAATTAGCCCGTCACCTGACACTCCTATTTCAAAATCGCTGTTGTGAGGGAGCCGTGCAATTGGATCCACAGTCATACCAATAACAATAATGACACCGGGACACTTGATAAGAGGAGGAATGAAGGAACGGAGGAGAAAGTAGGCCAGTCTTCCTCCAGTCTCCTCGAGCTGAAGGCTGTTTGTAATTTCAGAGCGAGCGAGGAATGGAATGTCTTTGGGGGTCCCCCAGGTGGGGGCAGCAGATCATAAACTATTACGAGCAGCAGAGGGTGAACAAATCAAACTATCACAGTCTGTGTTAGAATGTCTCAGTGTGCTGCCATATAGTGACGCTAAACCCAACCGCCAAAACTTCCTCTTTGTTACGTATTGAATTTGAAGACCTTCTACCACCTTTTTAAAGAGAATTCAAAGATTCAATATTCAGTATTTATTGCCATGTCAACATAGGTGGGCCTTTGTGGCCTTAACACAGAAGAGAAGACAATAGGGAACAACAAACATTAATCCCTGTAATATGGGATAGATACAGGATAAGAATACAAATTTTGAAATAGGTATCAAAGTAAGATTGAGAAAAGATCCAGAAAGTGAACGTAGTGATCGTAAGCCTGTATAATAACACTCATTTCATGAATTTCTCAAGTTTAAAAATGCCATGTAAAACCTCAGCCTAGTTTTCAGAGTCTTCAGGGTAAAAAGAACAAAGTCCTTGGTGTTCTTTTCTGGTTCAGCCAAGATCATAAAACCAAACTCGTAATAAACCAGAGACAGAGAGGGGAGAGAGAGAGAGAGAGAGAGAGTGAGAGAGAAAACAAGGTGTTTGTTTCACAGGCCGAGTTAATTTGTGGGGCTGAAGTGTGTCGTTTCGGAGCACAGAGCACACCCTTGTTGCAATTAAAGCTGCTGGAAATATTTTCTCAGGGTGGCCGGCCGCTAGTGAGGCGCTCCTCAGCTGCAGAGGGGCCCACGCCGGTGCAGCGAGTGAAATTTCAAGATGTGGAATTTGGCCAGGGCAGAGAGGTCAACTGCACCCCCCCTGCCGCCATTACCCCCCCCCAGGGGTGAACTTTAACAACTGCGTACAGCGGGAGGATTACAAGCCACTGTGTCGGAATGACATCTCCAGCTCTAAAGCCTGGATTTCTCTTAGAACAGTCAAAGTCTGACGATTTCTTTCACCAAATAGGTTTGGTAAATGTCATTCAGCGTTTAAAAGGAGGCTAATCGAAAGGCGCCCCGCTGATAACAAAAGATCAAATTCCCAACTCCTTGTACGACAGTGAGGAACATCAGCCACAAGCAGCTACAAATGAGAAAAGACAAGAGAGGGAGGGCAAGAGAGAAAGAGAGAGAGGTTCTGCTCTTTGTCTCACTCTAAATGTGAAGAATTATATGCCAACAGCCACCAACTACCATGAGGTCACTTTTACCATGTTAATTGTTAGCTATTTGTCCTCATTCATTATTGGCAAAATCAGCATTACTGACTGAATTATTCCTTCAATCCATCAAGACCATGTTGCATTTGCAAATCCAACACGCTGAGCAGAACTCCACTTTCTAAAACCGAAATAAAGTACAATTTATCAGTCCACCTAAGACATATCTTGATCTCCAAGTGGTCAAAGTGCCTTGACAACTTGACAAATCACTTCACACATGTTGCACAATGACACATTGTTATAGCACCACATTCTAAATTTGCTTCAGTCCTTAAGCCATTAAACCCCACAAAGATCAGACACACATAGTGAAAACCGCTGGGATAAAGTCTGTCAGACAGGAGAAGTCGAAAAAGAAAAGTAGGACAAACCTCAAATGAACACATCTAGATTTCTAGCCACATTACAGTTCTCAAACGCCTTAAAACTGCTTAAGAAACTGTTAGAATGGTTCAAAGCCCTTTTTCTCATCACTAAGGTCCACCGAAGTGTGTTGTGCTTGACTGCCCAGGGTCCACGTTAAATTAATTATGTAGGTGTGACCACTCAATGGACACCCAGCAGTATTCTCCCACTGCCATTAATTCAGAATGGCATGAACACAAGCTACGGCCAGGACACCCAAAGCGGAGCAGCTGTCAGAGAGCCAAGCGAGAAAACAGCGCACCAAATGTGTAGCATTCACAGCCTCCTATTCATCACAAGGCAACTCCATTTCTCTGAAATCCTTAAAGACCTCGCAAACTGGTACAAGACACCAGCAGGTCCCAAAATGGCAATTCAAATTAAATGCATAATAGCATACTCAGTTTAAAATAAGGCCACGTGTGGAGCACTTTCTTTCGGAACAAGAAGCATCACTGCTGGGGAAGGAGAACCATCCTTTGCTGGAGAAAAATCTGGTTTCTTGAGAGATAAGCAAGCCTAAATTGGCAGCTCAAGAACTAAATTCATCAAGAATTAGATCATAACTTCTCCTGAGCTCTAAGGACATCGGAGCACTGGTCAAAACCAGTATAAACAACTGCAGAGGAAGTTCACAGCCTTACAAAGGCTGACCGTTTAACAGGAGCATTTCTCTCAAAGTCAGGGGAAAAATGCACTGCGCTGTACAGTCTGCACATGAGTGAAAGTGATCCTGCAGCCAGACATTGAGGTAGCAGCAGAAAGCTATAAGCTATCACTCCAGAGTTACAAATCTGTACAAATCAATACAACACCAATGCAGAGTAAGGAGAACGGCGAAACCATTGCTACAAAGCAAACTCCCTCCGGCTGCTTCACTTCAGCAAAGCATATAAACTTTTTAATGCCATCATCAGTTTGTCCTGACAGAAAATTATAGCAAAGACATTATGAGATGCTTTTTTGTTGTTTTGTAGATGCAGCACACAATGCAAGGCTGATTCTCTTAATGTGAAAAGCACTCACAATAATGATTGATATTTACTGTTTAAAATAAGTAGATTTTGGCCACATTCTAACTCTTAAAGGTCTTAAAACTATTTAGGAAACGTGTGAATTATTCAAATGTTCTTATCTATATCACTAAGAGCCACTGAACAGTGCTGTGTCAGGTCCACGTTACGTTATGACAAGTGTCTGACTGACTACACTGAGGAAACTAATGCAATTCATTTACTTAATTCAAATGGGTACATATTTACATATGTGTCGTATATATTTTATTCACATGGACATACTATCCCTAATGAAAAAGAACTAAAGTAAAACATGAATCTTATAGTAAATTCACACAACTGCTACAGTTCATGCTAGTAAACATGTATTATAGATTACTATAAGACAGTAATAAAGGATTTATGTTGAGGAAAAATAGTATATATTGTTGCCTAAGTATTACACTGCACTACAGAAATCTTATACCTTCTTGTAGTATTACTATAAGTCTTTTTTGTAAGTGATTGAAATCACTTCTCTTTACTGTACGGTCTAAACAGCATCTCAGAAAGAGCCGTTGTGAAATAAACAGGAGTTACCGAGCGGAGCCAGGAGAGTCAGATATCCCAGGAGAAGCAGGCAGAGGGAGGCCGGGAGCTGGAGGCGCTCAGCCCCGGGGCAGCAGGAGCCTGCTCTCCCCATACCCGGCCATCCAGCGAGCGGGACGGGACACGGGGCGAGACAGAGCCGAGGAGCCGGAGCCTGGCGCTTCCTCCCCGGGACGCTAAAGCGAGTTTAACTGCGGCTACAGGCTAGCGCTCCGGAGCTTAACCGTCCACGCCGGAGAGTTGCAGCAGCGGTAGTAGCGGAGGGGAGAGAAAAAACAACAACGCAAAAGTGAGGAGTACTGGAGCCACGGGGCTTTTCTTCTTCTTCTTCTTAGGTTCCTGGGTCCGTGGGGAAGCGGTCAGTCCACAAACAGGGCGGTTGGGGTCGGTGTGTCCGCGCTGGACATCGCATTTCTCCTTCCACACGGACAAAAAAACCTACAGCGCACACCGAGTCTGGGTGGGTTTTTTTGGACCCAGAGATCGATACGAGAATCGTCAGACGAGCGGAGCGCGGAGAGGAATCCACGCCCACTTGGACTTGGAAGCCACGCCCGTTGCGAGAGTATGTCACGCCCATGTTGGTACATAAGCTCCGCCCACGTGTGACGCTCTTTGAGAATAAAGACAGGCGGAGAGGTTGAATCGCTCGCTTTTATAAAACCACTGGGAAGTAATATGTACCGATCTACAGCGCTTAACATATACAGTTATTTATGTTTTACTATTATTACTATTCTTCTGTCTTATTATTTCTCCTTTTCCTCCTTCTTCTTCTTCCTCTTCTTCTTCTTAGTAGTAGTAGTAGTAGTAGGACTGTCTGGGTTACCATTAGTATCACAAAGCCACATACATTTGTATATATGAGGTACATTTTCGTCGAAACGGTGCACATAAATAGACAATACCATGCAAATACAAAGAAATACAAGGAACACAGAAGGTATAACAACTATATATTGTACACAGAATGTAAACTGTATATATAAATGTATATCATCACTGTCTGAACCAAATCTTGTATCTCTGAAATGGCAAATTTACAGAAGAAGGAAAAAGATTCTTGACTTTTATATATATATTGACACAATTTAAAGGACAGCTGTTACTTTTCAAGCATCTAAAAAGAAAAAATAACAAGGTCTTGTCCCGACAGCAACAATATAAAATGTACAGGTTATATACAGTATGGAGGCATCTGTAAACAGGCACATCTCTCTGCATGTCTGTAATCAGTGAGTTATCAAAATATTCCCATTTTATTGATACCTTATTGATAAACATATTGAAGATCTCTGCATGAAGTGCATGATTTGAATGAAGCTTATGCAATCTAACAAATGAATCAGAAATCAGAAACAAATTTGAGATTTGCATTACTCCAAAGTTACAATAGCCTAGGACTAGTTTGGAAATACAATTGAAGTATATCTAGTGTAATTAATGTAGACAAAGCTTTTGTGAGCACACATATTAGTTGTATTAGTACTGCAAAAGTGCACAGTGTATTAATAGTTTTAATAGCACAGTAATTGGCATGCTCCCATAAAACTGTCCTGTGTGAGGTCAAAAGACAAATGAGGGCAAGAAAACTTTGGAAAGTTTTGAGCCAAGACAGACGTTATGGGATGGTACAGTCTGCTGGTTTATGGACACAATATACAGACACCTCAAGATTTTACAAGACTTTCATATGTTCCCATTTCCTGCACAGGATAACTGCAGTGAGAGTGGTGTTGAAATGCCACAAATCCTCAAGCCCCCTCCCTCTAGGCATACACAGTCCAGAATGTCTCTCTATCTCTCGCTTACAAACAAAAAGGACTGGCCGCAGAACACCAAGTGTCCAGCAGGGGAGTGGGAGAGTCTAACAAACACATTTAATAAACACTACAAGTCCAAAAGTTTGTGGACACCTGCTCGTCCATTGTTTCTTCTGAAATCAGGGGTAATAATACAGAATTTTCTTCTTTTACTGCAGTAACAGCCTCTACTCTACTGGAAAGCCTGCACTAGATGTTGGAACATTGCTGTCAAGATTTGATTGCATTTAGCCATGAAAGCATTAGTGAGGTCAAGTACTGACCTGGATGATTAGATCTAGATCTCCACTCAACTTATCCCAAAGGTACTGGATGGAGCTTTATCACTGTAAAGAATGCACAGCCCAATGCTGGGGGGCTTTATACCCTTCTAGCTTCTAGAATTCACTGTTAGAACAGTCCACCTGCACAAATTTAAGCCATCAAGTTAGAAAAATCAGATCTGAGCAAAACATTGACATTTAGCCATGAGGCTTGTAATGTGAACATAGTCAAAATGGCTTAGATTTGATCTGAAAAGATCAGATTTGCATGTCTAAACAGCTCTGCAAACATCAGATCTGCGCATATTAAGGCAAAAATTAAGGTGGATTTGTGCTGCTTCAGCCTGGTAATGTGAATGTGATGTAGTGTGAGCAAAGGCTATTGTGTTTTTCTGAAGTCCCATTTTTTTTACTTCTACATCCCTTTTACTTGCTTTTTTATCACACAGCTTAAATTGAAATGACTTAAAGAGGAGTTCCACCAAATTTTCAAAATATTCAAAATTTCTGCATAATTAAATGGTTATGGTGTAAACAATGTCTTTCAGAGTGGTGTGATGTGCAATGCACTGTTCTAGAGAAACTTACAGAGTCAGAATTGTTCACAGTGGTGGTGACAGAAACCAGACATCTGAAGAGTTTAATACCTCCAAAAGCTTCTTCACAGAAAGAAGTCTCATATTAATAATCTAGTCAAAGGTTTCTAGCCATCTTCAGACAATCTGATATTGTTTTAGTTGAGTTTAACTTTTTCCTTGTCCTTTTTATTTAATTTTATTATTATTTCATTATTATTATTTTTTCTTCCCAATCATTTTATTTTTTATATTTTATCTCAATTCTATTACTGGTCTTATTGATTTATTTTTATTACTTTTTATAATCTTTTTAATTGACTGTTAAATTTTACTTTGCCTATTTATCCTTTTATATTGAAATATTATTAATTGGTTTAGTATCTTGGTTTTATTTTATTTTCCTCTTCTTAATTAAATCTTAATTGTTGTTAATTAAATCTTAATTGTTCTCTTTATTCTTTTGCCATTAATATTTTGCCAAATCTTATTTGATTTTACTGTTAATTTGTTTATGTAGTTCTGTTCATTTTAGTTTAACCTGATTAAATTCTATTTTAATTTCTTCTTTCAATCCCTTTAAGTTGTAAATGCTCATCTGTATTGAAAATGAGGGTCACCCTCAATGTATTTCTGAGTGAAAATACAGGTGGATCAATTGACTCATTGATTTATTAATTGATTGTTTGTACAGAAATCAGAGTCAGTTAGTTTCTCTACAGTTCTACAGTGCACCATTTCACATCAGACCACTCTGAATTACTGTTTACGTCTCAAAGACTTAATCATGCAGAAATTTCAGAAAAATCAGTGGAATTCCCCTTTCATTTTTTTCTCATGCACCCAGAGGGAAGGCATAAGTCTATCACTCAGCTGGTTATACAGCAGTTTAATAGAGTAACAGCTGAAGGAAGTGTGGAGGTTTCAGAGGTTTATTACTCTAATCCTCTCTGCTGCGATGGCTTAGGGGGCCTGCCCGAAATCAGCCGAGGTGCAGGGATAGCCTCCGTCAGGACCAAAAATAGGATCTAACTTCAAATAAACATGTCAGCGCTCGCTATAGTGGGACATGGCTTGCTTGGATTATACTTTATCCATAATTTCTAAATATTTTTGAGGAAGCACTGACCAAAACCATTTCCTTAACCACAGTCTGGAGCTCCGAAAACTGGTTGGCTATGGTCAGTGTCTCTACGGCTTCTGTGGGCATTAAGAAATATACAATGTGTATATTGTACTGAATCCAGTTGGCCTTCAGCCTTTTTGGTCTCTACAAGGCCTTGGAATTATATGGTGTATGTACCGCGCTAATCACTTATTGATTGGCTGTATAAAGCATGGTAGGGGGATGCTATCAGAGGCTTTGTCTCGTCTTGAATAGAGGTCAATTACTAATGCTCTCTTGACCTTCTGTGCCATTGCAAACCACAGGGCAATTTTAGGAATCATCAAATTCACATTATCTGGGGGTTAAAATGACCATGTGCATCCCAATGCCCTACTCAGTGTGAACTCTGTGAGGAAATCTGTGAAGGTCTCAAGACTGATAAGCATTTTTTTTTCACTTCAAGTGAACCATCTTACAACTATCACCCGTAAAAACAAATTTCTACATGAGTTAGTATATCATTGCAGGGACAGCTGGTGATTTTACATGAAAAGGAACAGTGTTCAAAATTTGATTGTCCATTAAAGGGCCCATATAATGGGAAACCACATTTACTTTTTTTTTTATTAAAAAAAGTTTGATGCAGGGTTAAAGGTTCACAACATACTGCTCACTGCTTAGTTTACACAGTCCTCATATGGAAAATAAGCTGCAAAACAGGCTATTTTGAATACATTGAATACAATGCATTTACATATATCAGCCTATTCAGCCTGCAGCATTCATGATGACATTATAATGAGTGCATAATCTTGGACTTCTTTTGAATGAGGAACAAAACAACACAGCCATTCAGAACAGAGGTCATTACATATATTAGTCCTAAAAGCACAGCATTATATGGGCAGTATCATATGAGCCCTTTAAACAGTCCATTAAAGGGTCCATACAATGTCAAACTAAATTTTCCTCACTGTTAGAGCTTCAAAATGTATTATTCACTTCCCAGTCTGTATATGGAAACTAAGCTGTGAAAACAGCCCAATTTGAATTAATTGTTTTTGTGATGTCACAAAAACCATATGCGATTACATACATTCAGCCTATAGCAGTTTATCGCCACCCATTCATGCTGAAGTTATAAGGAGCATTTCAGCCTGGGCTGCTTTATGAGGCGCAATACAGGGCAGCCAATCAGAAGTCTCTTACATATATCATTCTTAAAGGCAAAGTAACAACAAACAGCCTGTGTAATAAGGGATAAAGAGAGGCTGGAAAATGGCCAAGTAAAAATGAATTATGACTCTTTTTGGTATATCAGACCACACAAACATCATAAGTGGACCTGCTGGGAAACAAATAAATACTAGAAAAATGTAGGACATGGGCTCTTTAATGTAATGAAATTTTATTCAAAGCAATTTCAGACCATTTCTTTTGGTCCAGTTGTCATGAAACAATGTAAAGGTGGTGTGATTTCATGGTATTAAAAAAGGAGAATAATTATAATAAACAGTTAAGAGGTTTCATATGATCACGACAATATGTAATATAAAGTGTATGTATCGGAGATGTGGTAATGAGATTTGTAGTCAAGATCCTGTGACCCATTTTTATAAAAGTAGCACATATAAATTTATGCCAACATTTCCTTCCAAGTATATCGTCATACACTTGGCACTTACATTCTAATCTGAGTGTACTAACCTCATATGGTGCAACCCATTTTACAAGCCCATAAACACCCACCTTCTATTATCCTGTCTGATGCACTTTCTATTCTTGTCCGTAGGGTTCATCTAGTATCGCTTACAGCGCATTGTCCCCACAGCTGGCCAGCCTCTTCTGCGCTGGATGGTCCAATCTGCCCACACTCAGACAGGACTCCAGCCCACTGCACAGCTGCTGAGGAAAGGCCAGCAGCTGAAGCATGGTTAAAAAAGCCATATCTATAGTGCAGGCCATAAGTCATTGGACAGTCATTTGAACCTGAAAGGGGGTCTGTGTATAAAAAGGCCTGGGATTTTATTGAGGTTTATCCAATAGAGGTATAAATGCAATCATATGTAAATGTTTGAACACTCCAGATCAAATGACATGTTTTGTTGATTTTCTAAGTGAAAGTAAGTTAGCATATCTTC